TTTTAAAATTGCAATTTTAAGTATAATTTAAGTATATTTTAAAAATTTTAATTATATTTTAAGTCCTATTTTAAAGTATATTAAATACATTTTAAGTATATTTTTTTCATAGGGCGTTCACTCATGCCTCATCTGTATTAAGGGAACACCGTTTTGGCCAGCATTAAGATTGGAATTACTTAATATAGAAATTCTCGGTGCCGATCATTTATAATTCTGCCCAAATTTGCGGAATTTTTCGGCGTGTCACTGGAGTCGAACTGTCGAAGTATGCATTATTCCGATATAAAGGACCTTTCAGCATTCTAGTCACCGGAAAGAGTGGTACTGGTAAGGCCAATTTACTTGCAAATCTTGTTCTTGGAAATAAGAGCGAGCATACATACAAGTGGAATCTAGCACCTTATAGAGTACGCAGAAAATTTTCCACCAAGTTATTTTGTGTTTCTTTCGCGAATTTTTGATTTCAAAGTAGTTACGACTTCAATAGACAAGATGGAATCTACTTGAATATAAAATAAGTAGTAAGTACGTAAAAATTGATGCCAACTAACGTGTTATTCGACGTACTATTCGTCCGATAGTATATTATCTCTATGGAAAGTCTGGTCAAATAAGCAAGTCAAATTCCGGACAATACTTTTCATAGGGTAATGATTCAATATTTATAAAAAAAAAAGAGATAGTAGTGGATTGTTTCTTCTTATATCTTTGTGGTGAAACAGCAAGAGTTACAGATTAACTGAGATACTTTATCATCACTAATCATGCTATTACAATTTACAAACAAATCTCTCTTTTAAGCGTTGTTTATTTGTTTTCTTCAGAGAAGACATTGAAGATATTACTTTATAAGTATTTTTTTTTTTCTAAAAAAGTTATATATACTTTTCATATAATCTAAAGAAATCATGAGATTGATATTCATCCAAAGAAACAATTCATGCCCAATCTAAATTAAAAGTTCATTTCATAATCACGAGTTTCCGTTATCATAAATAAAAATGGCATTACGTGAATGCCTTATAAATCTTGGAAACTATTGATAAAAGATACATGCATATATTCTTTTTAAATATACAGATTTCATCTAATAGACAAAATAAAATCATATTGTAATAGTTCATTTAATGAAAATTTTCCTTTAAATATTATAAAGTATTAATAAACTTTTTTAGATTTATTATACAAATACGGAATCTAATTCTAAGTTATTAACACTCTATAAAAAAATTTTTGATTTTTTTCTTTTCAAAAAAAAAAAAAAAAAAATAATAACAATTTTTAAATAAATTGATTACTCATCAATCCTAGAATTGATCTTTTCTCTCCAATATTTTCCTTTGTAACTAACAACAAATAAACAAACCACACCAATAAAAGAAACGCAAATCATGATGGTATAAATCAAACCAATACCAACAGCTTCTTCAAAAGGTACAGATATAAAAGTAAATAATGTGGCTGCGAACGATCTCGTAAGGTTATTAATTGCAACTGCTGATGCACTTCTACCTGGAAAAGCATCGACTAAATATGTTGAAACTGAATTAAACACTGTTATAAAACTAAATGCTCCTATTAAATAAGAGTTATAATTTTTTAATCGAATTAATTAAAAAAAAATTAAAAGTTAGAGAAACATTGATTTTGTACGTACCAGTGAACATAGCGATAATTGGTAAGGCTATATGTAATCTAGCTTCAAGAAACCACCCATAACATACATAAGAAACCGAAATAAAAAAACAACCAATCCAAACACTATGAAGTCTCATTTCAGGATATCCAACACCATTGTTTCTTTTTTTAGCTTCCATAAGAACATAATCTGACCATTTTCCTCCTATGATACTTCCAATCATATATCCAGTAGCCGGAGCCAAAAAAATTAATCCAACTGTTGATGCTGAAACATGATATATATCTGCGAAACTTAGCTCAGCTAATGTATTTTGTATATAAATTACTGCACACGTAATACTTATGTATACTATTACAAGTGACATATTAGGATATTTTAATAAACGTAATGGTGATGTAGGATCAAATCTTTTACGGTGTCGTGAATTTGAAGTTGTATTATTAGGGTTTGGTAAATTTGTAGGAGGTGCAAATGTTTCAGGAAGTGCAAAGAAAATTAATATTAATATTAAACCTCCAATAACCGCAAGAATCCATAAAATCCATCTCCATCCTAAATAATCTGTTACATATCCCCCGATCACTGGTCCTATAACTGTTCCAACCAAAGGTCCAAGATAAAAAATTCCATACGCTTGTCCTCGTTCTAAAAATATAATTAATATATATTATTTGTATTTTATACATTTAATTCTTACAATATAATATTAACCTACCAAATGAATGAAAAATATCACCTATTGTTCCGGCACCAATGCTGCAATCATAAAAATATAGGTAAAGATAAATTTGTTAATATAAATGTCGTAATGAAAGAAACATACCTCAGAACTGCAGAAGCACCACAAGCTTGAACTAATCGCATCGCTAACAATAACCAAATGCTATTTGATAAACCACATATTGCAGTTCCTATAATATATATTATAAAGGAAGCCAAGTAAACATTACGTCTCGTATAAAACACATCAGAATAAGCTGCCCATCCTAGTGGCTGTGCCATAATAATACAAATTTAAAAAGTTAAAAAAAGACTTTTATAATTTATCTAATAATATATTTATACTTACTGCCACGCCCATGAAGAAAACATTAACGCCAACTGTATGTAATTATCAAAAATAAATTAATAAAAACACTTCTAAATATGATAATTTTTGAATTCATTCATTGATATCTTACTTATTCCATTAGCCAGCACTCTGCTAGTTTTTAAATCGTTTTCAATATTGGTAATTGACGGATAAAATATTCTAAATATAAAAAAGTTGAATATATTTATTTATTTTAAATCCCATTCGTAAAATAAATATTTCACGTACGTGCTTGAAAGTGGTGCAACCATTCCAGCTAAAGAAATAATAAATAAAATAAAATTTTTCTTTTTTCTCGGCCAATATTTTGGGTCATTCGGAACTTATATCGTTTCTTTTGGTATTTCAGAGTTAACCGATAATTGGTCGGCAAGTTTTTTATCACCTTTTTCTATATTATTACTATTATGTAAGGTTAATTCAATATCATTCGTATTTGATTCGTCGTTGTTGGTGGATATAGACGATCTAATACTTGTATTATTCTGTTTTTCCATTTTTTAAAATTTTAAATTGACACACCCTCCTTATAAATACTTTTCTTACCAACGTTCATTCATTTGAGTCCGGAACTTGCCGAATACAACTCATTTTCGTAGCACGACATTTAAGTAATTATTTTTTTGTCGATTTGAACATAAAAGGTTAAAAGAAAAGAAAAGTTCAATTAAGCAAGTACTATTGAAGCTAGTTTTAAACTTTTTTGCCTTAAGGTTCATCCGAGAATATAATGAAGAATAGCTTTTTTTACAAGGTTTAACCATTGTTTTCACTATTGATTTAATTGGTTATTAAAAAAAAAAAAATTTTTTTAAATATTCATAAATTTTACTTCATCATGGAATTCTATCCAGCGTTGTTGGCATTAAAAAAAATATGCAAAATTGAAAGCTATATTAGGAATTGTGCAACATTAAATTACTGAATTTGGGGATGTTCTAACTTCGGACAAAATTGTTTTTTTTGAAAAAAAAAAATTTCCCCACATATATACAACCTATTCAAACATATATTTGGTGCATTTAAGCCTGCTCTGCAAGTTTACTTAGAGTATAAAATGACGTTATGAATGCCGTTTTTGACTTATTTGACTTTTCATTTTTATTAAAAATTTATTTATCCATTTGCCAAAATCCGTTTGCTCATATGTAAAGTCAAAAACAGTATTCAAAATCTACCTTTTTTTCTTAAGTAAACTTGCAGAGCAGGCTAAAATACGCTTATTTTATGGTTTTAAGTTTATATCATAGATGACCCGCCGGCTTGATTTCAAAATATAATCAGTTTCCTGGTTAAACACACCCAGATCGGCATTTCTATCTTTATTATGCAATTATGCATTGTATTTAATCAACTAAATAATTCACCGGTATGAGTATATAAAATAAAGTTGTTTTGTTTATTAAAATGTAAATATAATATTTTAAATATATAATTGGAGATATCCACCGTATACGAAGTTTTTAAAAAGTTGCTACGTATGTAACAAAATACTCCTTCAAAATTTGAAGGTATAAATTCTATTTACCAGCCAAAGGGGACTGTTGAACTATGATATTCTTGTGCTAGTAGTTGATCAATTTTTTTAATCAGCCACTTACGATATATATTGCTAGTATTGCTAAATGATAACAAAAGATGGTTGATGATGTAAAGAATTAATCATGTGATAGATAATGTCACTTCGTAGTAGACGGTAACGGCCAAATGTTATAGTACCGGCCAATTTTCATGATTAAATTGTTTACAGCAAAATTCGAAATATAGTGGACACTTGAAAATTTTTATTGTCGGGATTGTCGGGTACTCGGGTTACCCGGCTAGTCGGGTTATTAGAAAAGAAAATAAATTTTACTGTAATATAACATATTCTAATAACCCGACTAGCCGAGCAACCCGAGTCAATCCCAACAATAAAATTTTCAAGTGTCCACTATATTTCGAATTTTGCTGTAAAATAACTTGTTTATATTCAAGATTTTGATGTCCCATTGTTTGACTAATTCGGTTATTCATCTGATTGTGATGTAAATTAAATAAATTCGGAAAAAATCAAATACCAAATTTATCGTTCTTTGAAGAAATGTCTTACGAAATTATACAAGAATTGTTAATGATTTATAAAAATTACTTGAAACTGGCGAGGAACATGATGTTGTTATCTATGCCGGTCAAAATAAAAATGTTGGCATAATACGATTAATACGCGCACATTACGTACTAGATCAAAATATTTTCGTGCAGAACTATCTAAAAAAAAAAATGATGAAGAGTCATCTAAAGAAATTGTTGAAAAAAAATGACGGAAAATTTATTTTAAGAATACCTAATGTTCCTCATCGTAAATTATTAATAATCTTAAGATATAGTATTTATTGTGGGAATATTGACTTGGAGATATTATAAAGTCTCGACACATTAACACTTTTGAAAAATATAGAAATATTTAAAATTAAATCGTTAACTTCTTGCATTAGAGAGCACTTGACTAAAAACCAATGTGAATTTTTACTACAAAATGAGAAATTACTTAAAACAGGAGAAGGGTATGATGTTATCATCTATACTGTTCAAAATGAAAACGTTACAGACACAACTGAACGTGCGCATTCGATTATCAAAAACCCTGAGATATTATTTAATTCTTATAAGTTTGTTAGTTTAAAATCACCTATAATAGAATTACGTTTAAAACGAGATGGTCTATTATTGGATGAAATTGATATATGGAATAGCACAACATTCTATATTTCACAAGATGTTACTGATCGCATCTCTAAATTTTAACAATTTATTCTCTTTTGGAATAATATACACAAATAATAAATAATTTTACTTCTAACCTTAAAAAATTAATATTTTCATGAATTTCTAAATTGCTTGCTCATTTTTATTATAAGATGAAATCATTACTTTGCAAAATATTTGATATTTCGTATCTGAAAATTAAAATGAAAACTGAAAAATTCGTTTATGTAATTAGGTCGATTAATTGGACTGTGGACTTCATCGGGAAATTTTTTAAAGGGATATATATCGATGAAAATGTCACTGATATATATCGGACTCGTCAAGATATACCGATGTGGATAATTAGGTTATATTGACAATAATTATCAGTATCATTAAATTACGATAATTATCTTATAGTTAAAAATTGTTAAATTATTTATTGTTAAAGTGTTATGTTACTTTATTGTTAAATAACGTTAAATTATTCATTTGTTGAATATCGTTAGATTAATTAGTTGTTTTATTCAATAATAATTAATAAATACATTATTTAAATTAATTACTCTCCATTTCCAAAACTCCAGAATCCTACAAACTTAGACTATAAGAGAAAATAAACAATTCCTGATGAAATAAAAAAAAATTAGTTCAGGTTTCGTCTTCAATCTTCCGAATTCAAACACGAAGCCTACGAAAAAAAAATAAAAAAAACGTAAATAACGTTTTAAATAAAAAACGTAAGTTTCGCAATGAAAGTTATGAAACTTACTCGTCTCTAGTATCCGAACCCTAAAATCATGGAGCCTACAAAATAGAAGAATAAACGTTAATAAACATAACGTTTACATTAAAACAAAAACAAAAAAGAAACGGTAAATTTCGCAAAGAAACTTACCGTTTCTAATCTCAAGTGCCCCCTGATCGATCTGGGACCTACAAAAAAATTATAAAAAAAAGAAACGTAAGTACGTGTTTCATTTAAAAAACAAAAAAAAAAGGGAAGTTTCATAAATTTCGTAACTGAACTTACCTGTTTCAAAACTCTAACGTTTATAATCGATACCTACAAAAAAAATAATAAACGAAACGTTAAAAACGTTTCTATTAATAAAAAAACCAAAATATAAAGTTTCGCAACTAAAAGTTGCGAAACTTACCGAAACTAAATGCGTTTATTAAAAAAAAATAATAAAAAAATATTCAAAGTTTCAGTTTGAAACGAAACTTACCATTTCGAAATTTCAAAATTTACCATTTGACCTACAAAAAGAGAGAAACGAATAATGTTTCTTATAAAAAAAATAAATAAAAAATAAAGTTTCGCAGCACTTACCATTCGAGATTTATCACTTCAAAGTTCCCAACTTGAACTACAAAAAAAGAAAAGAAACGTTAGAATGTTTCTTATAAAAAAAAATAGAAAAGATTAAGTTTGCAACGTGAAACTTACCGTTCAAAATTTACCGTTTCGACGTACACGTATCCCTTTCTTACAAAAAGAGATAAGAAATGTGCAGTAATTCGTACGATATTTTAGAATGGTAGGCCATAGATTAGGAGAATTTGCTCCTATTCGAAAAGTTGGCTGGAGTTCATTAATTTTTACTGATTAAATTGTAAAGAATTATACGAAGTACAAAAAAAAAGATAGAGGCGGTTTCTAGAGATAAATAATCATAAATCTAACTCTTAGACGTTATTTTGTTAAATAACTTACTAATCTTCGATTATTGGTTGGAATAAAGTTTATACAGTCAAACCTATATGAAATTTTTAGTTATATCTTTTACTCCTATAATTATCATCTCCGTTTAAAAGTGCTATCATAGGTCTAGATCAATATATTATTAGTCATGATGTCAGATGTCACAGAGTCGCAACTGATATTGATAAATTGCGCAATACATCTCTGAGTTACTCATATTTTGAATAACTTTTATAACTTTTTGTAATAGTTACGTAATTTTGCGTATACCCACTGATTATGTTTTTCTATAAATAAACCACATTTTGCGAGATATCTATCTCTATCGTTTTTTTTATAATATCTCTCTCATTTTTTTTTATAATATCTCTCGCGTTTTTTAATATCTCTCTCGTATTTTCTTTTTATATATATCTCTTTTTTTTTATAATATCTCACTCGTTTTTTATAGTATCTCTCGCGTTTTTTAATATCTCTCTCGTATTTTCTTTTATATATATCTCTTTTTTTTTATAATATCTCACTCGTTTTTTTATAATATCTCTCGCGTTTTTTAATATCTCTCTTTTTTTTTATAACGAAGTTTTTTACAACGTTTTATAACGACGTTTTTTTTGTTTTTTTTTATATCTCTCGCGTTTTTTAATATCTCACGTATTTTTTTAATGACGTTTTTTACAACGTTTTATAATGACATTTTTTTATAACGTTGTTTTATAACGACGTTTTATATATATATTTTTTTTATAACGAGGTATCTCTCTCGTACAAAAAGAGTTTGTTTTGCAGTTTTATTAGTAAAAACGCCCATTTCCTGACGATGTCTAGGTTTTACATCTGGTCGTCACGCGTAACGAGGTATCTCTCTCGTACAAAAGGAGTTTGTTTTGCAGTTTTATTAGCAAAAACGCCCATTATTTCTGGTGATGTCTAGGTTTTACATCTGGTCACCAGTATAATGAAGATGGTTGAACTTTCTAGACCATTGTATAATATGATATACATAATGTGACTGTAGACGACCTTGGTTTATTGGAAACGTGATAAACCCATAGCATATGCCCCTGTCTCCCGGCTGGTCAGCCATAGCATCCCTCTGAGTTTGCCGATTGGTGTTTGAGGTCATAACTCTAGAGTTCTTCCATATTTTAAGGTGTTTCTCTTCTTTTTCTGTTTCTTTTCTTTCTCCTATGTGTTTAAAAGATTAAGCAAACAGAATTTTTTTAAAATCTTATCCTGGTGGAGAGCATGACTATGCTTTGACTAGTTCGATTCTAGTCTAAGATCTTGACGCCCATATTCCTGACAATGTCTAGGTTTTACATCTAGTTCAATTCTAGTCCAAGATCTTGACAATCGTATTTTAATTTTTTTTGGGGAAAATTTTTTTAGGGGATGAATATTATCAATTATCACTTTATCGAAATTTATCTCATGATGATTAATTATGATAATTATCAATATCGTTAATTAACATGATAAATTCCAATGTATAACATTAAAATATAAATGTATAGAATCCTCGTAAAATAATTTTATCCGTAATTTCTATAAAAATTCCGTTAATTTCCTTGTTTTAAGAATATAAATTCCTTGAATATGATACATTTACGGAAATAACATGGAATAAAAAACAGAATAAATTTTTATAAGGGAGATGGTAAATTTAGCAATAAATCGACAGTCTTTTAAGTGCCCATACGGATATCATTGTTGTTATGACATCTACGGCGGCAGTTGTTGTCTTCGCTCCAACATATTAACGAAAGTTTGTATACTTACTTACCTTTACGCCAACGCCTGGACTATTTTCGTGCAGACATTAAAATTTTATTTCTTTTTATTTATTAGTCAAATAGTATATTTTTCTTTATTTTACGTTACATATTTACAATGTAGTATATATTATTTAATAAATTCGTTTGTTTATCTTATTACTGACTTTTCTTATACGACTTGTAACTTAAATCAATTTTTTTTAATAAAGCGTCAGTTATATCTTTATATTATTTGAAAAAAAAAGAATAATTAAGTCATTTAATGTCTGTTTTGTTGTCGTTTTTTAAAATAAAGAAATTATGCTTAATTGCGATGATATGAACTACGAATTTATTTACATTTGAAATTTAATATTATTATATTAAAAATTCATAATTTTTTTTTCGTAATTGTACTATTTCATATTAACTTTGAATTCATTAATTGGATTTTGCAATTTGTAACATCCTAATTTAGTAATTTTGTTGAAATGATAATAATATGATCGTCAAAATAATGCATAAGGTAACATCCAAAAAAAAATCAAGGAAAAGAAAGTTAGTTACAATTTTCGCACTAATTGTATATGTAATACAACTAAACTAGTAAAGTATTGTAAAAATAAAAAAATGATGTAATAGGAAATGATGGTCTAAAATTATCATGAAACACTTTATTAAAGAGCCTGATTTAACTCTATTTAAAAAATAAAACCAAAAATGATGCATATCTTGGAAAATAAATGTCTACAGCTACAAAATACCTAAAATGAATGTTCAGCATAAGGCTGACAAAAATTAAATTATATGAAGGTGACGATAGCGTCGCCGAATTGGATTCATATACTCCAAGGACGTAATTAATTTTAAGAAACGGACTACTTTATATCATTGATATTGAGATCAAAATCCATACAAATCTATTCAAAGAGGATTACATTTTAAGAACTTCATACCATATATAAAGAACTTTTATTATCATGGGACGAAAAATATATTATCGTTATATATTCATTTTTTTTACAAAGCGACAATTCTTTTACGTGGTAACTAATTAATAATAATGTTAAAAAATTACAGATTTTATTTTTAATCGATAAACTTTTACAATTAAAACAATAAAAAAAAATGTGGCAACTCGATTTTCAGACGATACAAAATATAATTTTTAGTTTCATATTCTAAAATTCTGATTTCTGAAATTTTTATATTTACAAATCTATATCAGACTATATAGTTCTTTTTATTTATTTATTTATAAATTATAACTGAAAATAATTAACTTGTATATACTATATAAAATGGACAATACTGATCAGATTTACTAAAAAAAGTTTGTTAAACAGATTAGTTTAATCAAAGCAAAATTCAATATGAGAAGTAAGACTCATAAGTATTTTATTTAACAATTTACAGACATGTATCGGGTTGCCAATTTTTTATACCTCTAGCTCCGTAATATTGTAAATCATAGCCATTGTTTTAAAAATAATTTTGTATTCTTGGTAGAAAAGAAAGCTTTCACGTGATTTCGGATAATAAATCTCATGTCGATCTTCCATTTTGATGCACGATATGTGGCATAATTTTTGTTTTTTTATTTGATTATTCAAGCCAAACAAAACAAAGTCTGTAAAGAGTGTCATGCTACTTGCCGAGATAATATAAAGGAAATAATAAGATATACATATAAAAAATGTAATTTTTAATTTTTTATTGATGTAATGTAAATATTAATTAAGAATTATTAGAAGAATCACGTAACAAACCAAAAGGCATTTATGGTTAAATATGTTTGTTAAATTTTAACTCATTGGAAAAAATGAATAATGATATAGTATATATATATATATATATATGTAGAACTATGCCGAGAACTTGGAAAGATTTTAATAAGAATACAAGGTATTAGGAATAGTGGTATTAAATTTTCAGAAACGTTTGACAATTGAGATGTATAGTATGAGTTTATTTGAAATTGTTATTTTGTTACAATGGTCGAAATACACCAAAAATCATTATCCGAAATCACGTGTAACCCGATGTGTGCGATCTTTATATATCAATTTACAACTTTTGTAATAGACCGGGCAGGGCGATCCCCTCAGGGATCGGGACATCGGGTTGTTACTTAGACTTGCGTAGCTTAGTATAACATTTGTAAAGAGATCGGCTCCTAAATTTGTAATGCCCGTCACTGTCTTTATGTTAAAAATAAATAAAATACAACTTTTGTAATTATTACTATTATTTTCTATAATACTTTTATATCTACTTTAATATTAAGCACTTGGTATACAGATGAGGTCCGAAAATAAAATTTGCCGGATCATAACGATAGTTTGCATAACATTCAGTAAAAGCCACAAACAACCATACTACTTTATTTATATACAAAGAGTGAAATGAAGAACACGAAAAAGAAAAAAGTCAATATATACTAACACATTGTTTCACCTTACCATATTTTTTTGCTTCATGTTTTGGAGGTAATTCTGGAAGATGTAAACAGCATAACTTATGAAAAGCGACTCATTATATATGTATTATATGTATATATCAAAATTTTTATCATTTTTTTACAATGAACAACTTACTTACGAAGCGTACAAATATTAGACAGGAATATGAAAATGACGAGATAAAACCTTTTTTATTTTCACATATATTCCGGGTGTTTTAGCAGTCGATGTTGAGTCACGCATGGAAGACACATATGGTTTCTTCACTGATTTGATAATCTCAATCTTTTTTGGTTTATTCTTCTCAAAAGAGAGAGATTTTTTTTTTTTAGTAATCGTACTTTTAATTGATCATTGAGAACTACTTTCTTTTACTTGGCCTTTTCGCTTGCGGGCAACCCAGAGCTCGCATATTTAAGATGGTTTTATGAAGTTTATGGCCATAAAAATAGTGATTCCTATGCTCTACGTTTAGTCTTACCAGCAGCTGATAACTTGTATTTGAGAATTGGTGCATATAAGGCTCCACCGATGATCAATCGTAGTCGTTCTAAGGCTTTTGTAGTAGGGATATAGATTCTAGTCAATCCTGCGTAATACTGTCGTTTATTGAATGTCAATTTTAGTTCATAAGGAATTTTCTTTTAATTTGAACAGAGGACTCTTTTAATGATCTGGCTTACAATATTTATTACTATTTCACTACCCACTTGCCGGGCCACTTCAGTTATGAAAATCAAAATATATATTTATATAAAAGAATTTACCATAATATATAAAAGATTTCAAAAAAAATTTCAATAACCAAATTACAAAAAATTACGTCATTACTGTAAATCAAAAACTATTTACTCTTATTTATAGGTATTATATCGTTATATGTTTAATATATAACAAAACGTGAAATTCTATGATATTTACTAAACTAAATTAAGAAAATTATTAAGAACAATTTAAGTACAATATATTATGAAGCTGAAATAAATTTTTTAAAAAATAAAATTGATGTTATTTTATTATATATAAATATCATAGTATTTCACATTTTGTTATATACTATTAAACATATAATGATATAATACCTAAAATTTTAAACATTTCTGCTTTTCAAAAATGTTTAAATAAGAGAGTAAATAGTTTTTGATTTACATATTACAGTAATGAAATTTTTGTAATTTGGTTATTGAAATTTTTTTTTTTAAGTACAAATCAATTTTTTATTTTATATATTATGGTAAATTCTTTTATATAAATATGTTTTGATTTTCATAACTGAAGTGGGTAGTGAAATAGTAATAAATACTGTAAGTGTTGATGGTAACTGATTGAAGATGATTACGAGTTAATTAAGGACTACTACCTTGTCCATTATCAAGAGGACATTCTTATAAATATTATTATTGACCGGAGGGAGGAGACGCGTAATGGTCGGCGGTTAACCTTCAATGAGATACAAGATATCAGAGATGACAATGAGTGTCAGTAAAATTTACCTGCTGTCGGTAAAGGGTACTTGTCGGTAAAATGATTGTCGATAATGTGATATGGTCCCATATTTATTTGTTAGTAACGCTTATTTTTAATAACATAAAAAAAAATAAAAAAAAATACAATAGATATAACTATATGTTATTCTATCTACTAATAACCCGTCTAAGATGGAAGTAAGTATCAATACTTATTAGATCTAAACTAAATATCTAAATATAAAGTTTTTATAACATAAAATATCTATGATTGTCCGTGAAGCGTTTGTCGCCCTGATTTTCAATAATTTATTATATATAAGAAATCTTTTCAAAGCAATTCCTAAATGTTAAAACTGATTTTGAAATCAGGCCGGCTGGTCATCTATGATATAGAAAAGTAAACTTTAATTACGATAATATCCAAATTCGGTAATTTAATGTTGCACAATTCCTAATATAGAAGCTTACTCGTTATTTTTTATATTTTTTTAATGCCAACGCTGGATAGAATTCCATGATGAAAGAATATTTAAAATTTTTTTAACCAATTAAATCAATAATGAAAACAATGGCTAAACCTTGTAGAAAAAGCTATTCTTCATTATTTTCCGAAAATTTAGCCTTACTTTCAAAAAGTTTAAAACTAGCTTCATTAGTACTGGCTTAATTTGGAACTTTTCTTTCCTTTAACCTTTTATGTTCAAATCGACAATGAAATGTCGTGCTACGAAAATGAGTTGTATTTGATCGGCAAGTTCCGAACTCAAATGACGGAACGTTTATATAAGAATTTACTAGCTTTATCTTACTAATGAAAATTGAAATATTTGGTAAGAAAAAGTATTTATAAGGAGGGCTGTCAATTTAAAAATTTTAAAAAATGGAAACACAGGATAATACAAATATTAGATCGTCTATATCCACCAATAACGACGAATCAAATACGAATGATAATGAATTAACCTTACGTAATAGTAATAATATAGAAAAAGATGATAAAAAACTTGCCGACCAATTATCGGTTAACTCTGAAATACCAAAAGAAACGATAGAAGATCCGAATGACCCAAAATTTTGGCCGAGAAAAAAGAAAAATTGTATTTTATTTATTATTTCTTTAGCTGGAATGATTGAATCACTTTCAAGCACGTACGTGAAATATTTATTTTATGAACGGGTTTTAAAATAAATAAATATATTTAACTTTTTTTTATATTTAGAATATTTTATCCGTCAATTACCAATATTGAAAACGATTTAAAAACTAGCGGAGTGCTGGCTAATGGAATAAGTAAGATATATCTATGAATGAATTCAAAAATCATATTTAGAGGTGTTTTTATTAATTTATTTTTGTTAATTACATACAGTTGGCGTTTATATTCTCTTCATGGGCGTGGCAGTAAGTATAAATATATTATTAGATAAATTATAAAAGTCTTTTTTTAACTTTTTTAAATTTGTATTATTGTGGCATAGCCACTAGGATGGGCAGCTTATTCTGATACGTTTTATACGAGACGTAATGTTTACTTGGCTTCCTTTATAATATATATTATAGGAACTGTAATATGTGGTTTATCAAATAGCATTTGGTTATTGTTAGCGATGCGATTAGTTCAATCTTGTGGTGCTTCTGCAGTTCTGAGGTATGTTTCTTTCATTACGACATTTATATTAATAAATTTATCCTTACCTATATTTTTATGATTGCAGCATTGGTGCCGGAACAATAAGTGATATTTTTCATTCATTTGGTAGGTTAATATTATATTGTAAGAATTAAATGTATAAAATACAAATAATATAAATAATATATATTAATTATATTTTAGAACGAGGACAAGCGTATGGAATTTTTTATCTTGGACCTTTGGTTGGACCAGTTATAGGGCCAGTGATCGGGGGATATGTAACGGATTATTTAGGATGGAGATGGATTTTATGGATTCTTACGGTTATTGGAGGTTTAATATTAATATTAATTTTCTTTGCACTTCCTGAAACATTTGCACCTCCAACAAATCTACCGAACCCTAATAATACAACTTCAAATTCACGACACCGTAAAAGATTTGATCCTACATCACCATTACGTTTATTAAAATATCCTAATATGTCACTTGTAATAGTATACATAAGTATTACGTATGCAGTACTTTATATACAAAATACATTATCCGGGACAAGTTTCGCAAATATATATCACGTTTCAACATCAACAGTTGGATTAATTTTTTTGGCTCCGGGTACTGGATATTTGATTGGAAGTGTCATAGGAGGAAAATGGTCAGATTATGTTCTTATTGAAGCTAAAAAGAGAAACAATGGTGTTGGATATCCTGAAATGAGACTTCATAGTGTTTGGATTGGTTGTTTTTTTATTTCGGTTTCTTACATATGTTATGGGTGGTTTCTTGAAGCTAGATTACATATAGCTTTACCAATTATCGCTATGTTCACTGGTACGTACAAAATCAATGTTTCTATTCTAACTTTTAATTTTTTTTAATTAATTTGATTAAAAAATTATAACTCTTATTTGATAGGAGCATTTAGTTTTGTAACAGTGTTTAATTCAATTTCAACATATTTGGTCGATGCTTTTCCAGGTAGAAGTGCATCAGCAATTGCAATTAATAACCTTACGAGATCGCTCGCAGCCACATTATTTACTTTTATATCTGTACCTTTTGAAGAAGCTGTTGGTATCGGTTCGATTTATACCATCATGATTTGCGTTTCTTTTATTGGTGTGGTTTGTTTATTTGTTGTTAGTTACAAAGGAAAATATTGGAGAGAAAAGTTCAATTCCAGGATTGATGAGTAATCAATTTATTTAAAAATTGTTTTTATTTATTATTATTTTTTTTTTTTTGTGAAAAGAAAAAAATCAAATATTTTTTTATAAAGTGTTAATACTTTTAGAATTAGATTCCGTATTTGTATAATAAATCAAAAATTATAATAAAAAAGTTTATTAATACTTTATAATACATATTTAAACATTAAATGAACCATTACAATATGATGTTATTTTGTCTCTTAGATGAAATACTGTATATTTAAAAAGAATATATGTATCTTTTATCAATAGTTTCCAAGTAAACTAATTAATCATCCTGTTAGATTTACGTAATACCATTTTAATGAATGAGAATTATCAATTTTATGATAATGGAAACTCGTGATGAAATGAACTTTTACTTTAGTTTGGACTTTGGACATGAATTGTTTCTTTGGATGAATATCAATCTCATGATTCTTTAGATTATATGAAAAGTTTATATAAAGAAATACTTTTTTAGAAAAAAAAAATACTTATAAAGCAATATCCTTAAATACCTTCAATGCTTCTCTAAAGAAAACGCTTAAAAAAGAAATTTGTTTGTAATAGTATTAGTAATGATACAGTATCTCAGTTAACCTGTAGCTCTTGCTGTTTCACCACAAAGATATAAAAAGAAACAATCCACTATCTCTTTTTTTTTCATAAATATTGAATCATTAACCTATGAAAAGTATTGTCCAGAATTTGACTTGCCTATTTGATCAGACTTTCCATAGAGATAATATACTATCGGACGAATAGTACGTTGAATAACATGTTAATTGGCATCAATTTTTACGTACTTACTACTTATTTTATATTTAAGTAGATTCCATTGAAGTCGTAACTACTTTGAAATCAAAAATTCGCGAAAGAAACACAAAAGAACTTGGTGGAAAATTTTCTGCGTACTCTATAAGGTGCTAGATTCCTCTTGTATGTATGCTCGCTCTTATTTCCAAGAACAAGATTTGCAAGTAAATTGGGCTTACCAGTACAAGCGGTGTTCCCTTAATACAGATGGGAGGCATAAGCAATTATTAAGCCAAAGTTTGAGTGAACGCCCATACTTTAATGTACTTTAAAATAGACTTAAAATATAATTACAATTTTTTAAAATATACTTAAAATTGCAATTTTAAAATTTTTTGCGTATTTTAAGTATATTGTAAATTTTAAATATATTTTTTAGTATATTTTAAAGAAATTTTTAGGGATACGAAATTATATCATAATTTTATTGGTGATCAGCAAGCGAAAATTTTATTAAATCAACCCTTTTTAAATTTCAAAACTTTTGTTTGTTGGTATAAATTTTAAATGTAAGGTTTCTATTATAGTCAGATGTTTATTAATTAAATGTTTAATACTGACGTCTCAAGATTTTGAATAAATCTTATTATTCAGTCGATTAGAAATATGTGGGATTTTCCAATATTGAAATTAGTAGCATTAATTCCTTTTGGTTACCGCAGTATTTTACTATATCCATTATGCTATTTATTATTAGTAGCATTAATTCCTATTGGCCACTACAGTATTCTAATGAACGAACTATAACTCAGTTATTGGATGGACCGATATCTCTATTCCCCATCCAATAACTATTTATTATTAGTAGCATTAATCACTATTGGTCACCGCAATATTCCTAATGAAACTATACTACTATACATCAGTGGGACGGTCTTCGACCAATATCTCTATTCCCTTATTGTCGGTGAAATAACCCTGTTGGTGAAACGTTTTAAAAGTGGTCAAAGATTCAGTTATGATTTTGAGATATTTGTAGAATTGTAGGATAAAGGACTATTAATTTTTTGTGATGAAATAAAGAAGGGAATAAAAAAATTCAAATATATGTATGTATATTAAAATCTAAATTTCATGTCTAGTACTATATCTATTTCACCAATACATTCACTGCCATACAGTTTATGAGTTAACAGGAAGGGCTGCAATTTTGGTCGTTCCACAAATTTATCGGTCATAAATATTCAGCCACTGAGTCATTGACATAAACACAAAGTAAGAAAAGGTTTTTTTCCAAATTCAACTGATCAAATTATTCTACAAGAATTTTCTAAAAATTTAACTTTTAATAAAGAGATAAAAGTTAAAAGATTATATAATCGTGGATTGGATGCCATAGTACGAACTAAAGAGGAACGAATTGTACTAAAAGAATTATGGGAGCTTTGTAATGATAATATAAGAAAATATATCTGGTTACGACGATGCGAACCCTCATAATTATTTAATTTAATTTTTGTAAAGCGATAAATTATTCCATTTAAAGAAGTTGTGAGTGAACTTTCTTTTTGTACTTAAAAAAAATATATTAATTATCGAATTACTTATTACGTTAATTGATTATCACCTCATTATACTGTATATCCAAAAAATGAAAAATAGGTGAAACAAGCCATATTCCGAAGATCAATCATTTAAACAATTTGTTGCCTTTCCTTAAAAGTTGAATAATTTGAATAATTGCAATGATTAATTTGCCTTTATAATTTAATGTATTATTATTTTTTTAATTTTAATTTTATTTTAGGCGAACATAAAGTTTTTTAAAAATAATTAATTGTTTATTTGTGGAGGATGATATCATTTACGAATATAGCAAATATAGTATTTCATTTGACTGTCAATAAATCTTATAAAAAAGACTTAAGCATTATCTGTTGTTGTATTATTAATTTGGTAAAATTCCATTAATCCATTTCCATCTCTAAATGAAAGTATTAAAAGACTAATATAGTTAGATAGTTATATTGATCCGTAATACAAATTAGATTTGTTGAAAGGCCAATCATCTTGTGACAATGTGACATGTGATCGATCAAAGTTTAGAAATATAGATCAATCTGCATGACTCAATTGACTCATACTTATTATATTTTTTCTTTACCGAAAGACAGATTTTTGTTATAGAATGCGACATACGCCCTATAAAAAATTTTTATCCGAATATTTCCATTATTTCTCCGTGTCTTCCGTAAAAATTCCGTGAAAATGATACATTCACGGATATCCGTGTTAGCGAGATGAAAATTTCCATGATTTAAGGCCATGAAAATGATACATTCACGGAAAAAACATGGAAAGATAAAACACGGATCAGATTTTTTACAGGGACGGGGGCAAGATATACATTTATTCTTTTGTAATAAATAAATACAATAAAATTTCTTAAAAGAAAATTCTTTAAAAGAAATAACGATAAATTTAGAATTATTTGATTTGTAATTTACATGGTTTTTTTCCTTTAGAATATAAATTTACAAACAAATAACTTCTTTTTTAGCGACTAGTCTTAAAATTATTAAAAGAAAATAAACAAATATACAATAGATTTTTTTTAAAAAAACAAATATATTAAATAGAAAGTAAATATGTAGATAATAAATCCATTATTCAGGACCCAGAATTATATATATAGGGGTCAGGTGATGAAAAAAATTTTTACTATGAGCTGTACGCATTTTTTCAGGGCCGGAATTATTATAATGTCAGTCTGTTACTATAATAGAAAATAAATTCTGACTGGCATTATCAAAATTATCTAAAAAAGGAATGATTTTCATGATTTTTTTTTAGTTCAAAATACGCAAACTCAACCCTGTTCCTTTTCTGGGTCCCTCGTTTTTTTTATTAAATTAATCTTACGTTACATAGCTATTTTCTTAAAACGCTTTATGTCAGTATTTTTTTTCCTTATTTGAGAAAATAATTCAGTGGGATGTAAAATTATTTCTTTTAGCCTTTAGCAGCAGGTCATAAAATTATGACATCTATTTGATTACTTAATCCTTAATATTTAAAACAAAAAAAAAGGGTTATACGTAATGTAAAAAATTCAGTTATTTTAAATTACTCATAGTTATTCGGCATGAAAGGAAAACCGAATCTGTACTAACAAAAAGTAATTGTATCACATCTAACCGCAGGATGTATCGTTAAAAAATGAAAATTGGAAAATCAATATTGTATAAAAAAAACGGTCAAGGAAGCATACGCCAAAAATTTTTAAATTACTGATAAATAATAATAAAACTCCGTGATGGTCCAAATTAGCTAGTTGGATAATTATCACATCTAACCACAGGGTGTATCGTTACAAAATGAAAATTGGAAAATCAATATTGTATAAAAAAAACGGTCAAGGAAGCATACGCCAAAAATTTTTAAATTACTGATAAATAATAATAAAACTCCGGGATGGTCCCAAATTAGCTAGTTGGATAATCATTAAATCTAACCACGAGAAAAATTCTCAATCATGTGTGACACTACATTCGTCCCAAATTGGCTAGTGCCCGCTGGCCGACTCAAATCAAGTGAGACACTAAATTATATACAAAAAAGAACTCGTTGCAAATATAAATAAGGATTGTTCCTCACAATCTCACGTCAAAAAAAAAAAATCTCATTAAAAAATTAAATAATTAGATTTTTGACATCCGACATTTAATCTCACTAGATACTCTGATTTTTTTTTCAGCCTTTAAAGCCTCTTCAAACATTTGGTTAAATATATCTACAAAAAATGCTGTTAAGTGATCTCAGAAATCAACAACGAATTCAACGTCAAAGACGTAGAATTATTACTAGGATGTACAGAAGACGCGCAATGATCAATAACACAGATACATTACGTCGAATTGCACAATTACCTTTACAAATTACGAATGATCCATTTACAAATCAAATGTTTAATGGATCCCCTTTCTAATTAAATAAATGCACTATTGAAGAATAAGTAAGTATGGTTCTTTTACTTGTACGTTTTGTGTATTTTACAGTAATACGGTTGCGTTTAATCATTTTTAATATTATATGTTAATTTTGTGTAGAGTTTGAATTTTAAGTAAATTGGAAATTTCGTCTAGATCATATGATAAAATATTTTTTATATTATATTACCTCCTTTTTATACAATCCCAAAGTTTCTTTTTATTTATTTAAGTAAACAATATCTAGAAATTTTCTGTAAGCATTTTTAGTAGCAACTTACTATAAGCAAGTAAATATGACAAGTACCCTCTTCAATACTAAATTACATTTTCTAAAAACAAATCCCTTAAGCTTCTTTAATTAGTAAAAATTTAAATACTATGCATACATATAAAGAAAAACCAAAGTATATCAAATAAAATTACGAACTTTACTGAAACGGTTCATAATTTTGTGCCTTCAACTTTTTTTATCTTATATTTCTCGCTCTCAATATATATTTATATATATACATGTAAGAATAAAAATAACAATAATAACAATAAAATAAAATACTTTCTTTTCTTTTACGAGAAACTTATTATTCTTCACTAAAAAGTAGTTTTTTGTCATTTATAGCATACATATATAATCCATATCATAATCTATTCTCTTTTTTTCGTTTTACAATCTGTTAAAAAATAAAAAATCTTCACAATGTAGTATCCCCGGACACCAATTATACAATTATACTGGAGAACAAAGATACTCACCTGCTCCAGTCTCTCATTCATCTCCACTACCAAAGTCTGAAATCTGGTCGACTGTAAAAGGTAACGAACCCTACTATTCAAGGAAATTTACACAAATTCCATGTTCGAAGCCAAATATTATAATTAATAATAAACTATATAAAGAATTGCCACTCATTGTTAATTTTAACAATAATAAAAAAGATTCCGTAAAATCTTTATTTAATCAGAAATTGAATTACTATATTCAGGATATTTTGCATAAAATTGCCGGAATTAGCCTAATTCTACCAGAATTAAAATTTTTTAACCACACATTTGTACGGTATAAATTATTCTCTTTCTATTTAGTACTGTATATACAACTGTACGAGTATCCTCAATACAGTATTTGTTCTAGTACTGTCATATTTTATTTTATTTTTTTCAAATAAATGATTAAATGTTGTGATATTTATAATTTCAGACCACTAATATGTAAAGGTTTTTTATGCTGTATAAAGGTTTACATTAGATAAATTATATTTTAAGGATCAGATTTCATTTTCTGACCGTTTATTATTTGGGTTCCAAAAAATATTTAGAGCCTAATGTCAGTCAATTTCTAAAATGGAAAAATTTTTGTTGGCATTATATAAAGAGGAAGATTATCATTCGTTCTTGATCCTTTTAAATTTAATGTTCTATTGTAGCAATCTTGATTTTCTTCTCTTTTGTTATAATCAATTGTACACAAAATTATGAACCATCCGTAAAGCTCATAATTTTATTAGATATACTTTGGTTTTTCTTTATATGCATAGTATTTAAATTTTTACTAATTAAAGAATTTATAGGCTTTATTTTAGAAAGTAAAATTTGGCATTTTGACACTTAAAGAGTACATGTCATATTTACTAGTTAAATTTTTGTTACTAAAAATACTATTATCACAGAAAATTTCTAGATATTGACTTAGAGTGTCCAGGATTTCATGATAGTGATGGTGTGATATGGTTTGGTGCGATTTTAATTCTGGCCGGATTTAGCGTAATTTCGACTGGAATTAAAATCATCAATTCAACTTAATTTGGGCCGAATGATCATTAATTTACTGCGGATAGTGTGAAAAATTGAATTTTTTAAAAAAAATGGTATAAACGGAATTTATGTTTTCGTCGGTTTAACTACAAGGAGTAATATTTTTGAATTTACGTAATACGAAATTGTTCTAACCAATCAGTGCTTCGTATTTTCAGAATTTTTGTTTATACTTAGGTCATTGTAAACTTTTATAGATAATCATTTAAGTCTATCTTGTAACTACAGTATTACAAATCTTCATTTTACTTACCACTCATAAGTATCCTATAACCTTACTTCAATGCAATCTTCCTTCATTATCCCTAATCCCTTTGCCTTTATTCTACAATAATCTTTCCTAAATCTTTCTCTCTTACGCTAATTCCTTCCCTTAATTTCCTTCTTTTACCTAACCTTTATCTCCTTTCATATTACCTAATCCTCTTACCTTACCTAACCCCTTAAGCTAATTCTTCTAATTCTTCACCTCGCTAATACTTGATCCTTTACCCTAACAATTGCTTCCTTTATCCTAATTTCTTCCCACCCTAAATCTCATGATGATTGTGGTTTTGGTGATGGTGTGTGGTGTGATGTGGTGATAGTGATGGTATGTATGGAGATGATGGTGGTGGTGAGATGGAGTTCTATGCGCGGGTTGTAACATGCTTTTAGTGAGCTCATGAGTACCAGCTTTTTTCTGCAGTCATGTACATAATTTTACGAGTAGAGCATGCGTGCACTTCTTAGAAAATCCCCTATGATAGGACCGTAATACTATACTATATAATGAGAAAAAATAGATTCAATTCTTTGTCATATACATGTGTTGTTTACATACTGTAATTTATAATTATATCATGAGATTTACTGCACGTATTAACATTATAAAAATTAATTATGGTTTACTTAATTTTTATAATGTCGTAATATTGCCTTTTTGCGTTAATAATTTGTAAAGTTTGACTATATTAATATTAAATGTATACTTTTAAACATGATAAGCGATTTGCTGGCTAACGTGATAATACAGGTAATATGGTGCCGCATTTCCATATTAGGAATTTTTATAATTCTGATAATTTTATCAGATGATGATATTAGCTTGTCAGTTTCACAAGGTTAAGTCGGGACTGATGCTATCATAGTAAATCAACTAAATCATGTTATTTAAATGCAACTTAATGCAGGGAAAAAAAAAAAATTAAGAAATCAGGCTATAACCGAACCAGTTTTTTCATTGTATTTTTGGAAGCACATGGACGATCATAATCACATTATTTATGGGTTTATAAAATTTAGTTAATCGTTTTATTTTATCATGTGATATTTTACAAATTAATTCTAAAATTAATACTTTTTTTTTTTTTTTTTTTTTACAAAAAAAAAAATTCTAAAAGTAAAACAAATAAAAATAAATATTACAAAAAAAAGAAAAAAAACAAAAAGACTTTGTATTAATGTCCGATTAAAGATGTGAAATGCATTTTTTTTTTCTCTTTCATGATGATTTTTAAAATATAAACAAATGTGGTATAAATTGCCAAGAAGCCAAGAATGAATTATGTAAGATTTAGATTATCGTACGTAATACGTCATATTATCATGCGTCTTCTTTCAACATCCTTAAATACTATCTATTTTTGAAAGAATAGTTATTATAAAGTTTTTAAAATACAATATATAAATAAATAATTGTTACATCTTTTTGAAAGTTACCTTTGCATATTCTTCAATATTGAATACAAATGGAGTTTCTCCGAAATTTACTTCAATGCATTCACTTCTAGTACGCAAACCAATCATAGGGTAATAATCACTTAAGGTGATCTCATTAAATGCCTCTCCTGATTTTTTTATAAAAAAAAATTTTTTGGTTATAACGTTATTGAAATATGATAAATTGATAACATAATGATATTACCTAAACATATACCATTCTTAGTGTAAAATGCAGTTTTATTGAAAAAATTTATTCCACAACCAATTGTGTCCCAAGTTGTGAAAGGTGGACCATAATTATGTCCCTTACTTGAAGATGATCGAAATTTCTTTCCATCATCACCATGGTATCCAAAAGTATTTGGTTCCCATCCTAAATAGACGAGAAAGAAAGAAACGTTTCTTTGTTTTGAAAATTTCTTTTCTTATTTTTTTTAAAAAAAAAGTTTACCAAAGTAAAGATTTTTTTTTTTGTTATTTACCAGGTAATTTCCAAAGAAATGCACTATGAACTCCAAATCCGATACCAATATAGCTGGAAAAAAAAAATGAAATTAGGAATTTCGAAATTTTATATCAAAAAAAAAAAAGAAAAAAAGTCGTTGTATAACGTTTAAAATATTTTACCCAGATTCTCCAGCATCTACTATACTGACTTCAAAATAATATAATCCAACTTCACTTGGTATCGAATGGTTAGCTCGAATAGATGCAGCATCGGCGTCATTTTGACCAGGTCCTGAAATTTTATGTATAAAAGAAATTTTATTTTTTTTTTAGATCGATTGAAAACAAAAAAAAACATAAAAAAAAAAATTATAATTTATACCTATATATAAAACTTTTAATTCTTTATCTCCAATAACTTGTAAATTATCGTTTGAATCAGATGTATTCCACCTTGTAGGTAAATCGATTGGATTTTTATTAAATGGAAAATCTTTTAAATACGAAGGTAAAAAAGGCATTATTTAAATAATTGATATTCAAATAATTCAAATAATTGATTATTTAAGACGGGTCCCTTTTGTTTTTTTTTTTTAAAAAAAAAGAATGGTTGTATTTGAAATTTAAAATGGCATTATGAGAGGTATTTATAGAAAAATCGATTAAAATTGCGTCAAAAATTAAAATGAAAAGTTTTTTTTTTACTGCGATAAAAGAAATGATTACCTTTTTTAGCATAAGGTTATTCCCTGATCATATGTCATTTATAAACAGGGGCTATGCAAGATTACAAATTTGATACGGGTTTTACTTCATTGCGTTTTACTTATAAAGGTTTATTGATTTTCTTAACAAACATTTGACTTAATCAAGTAAGAATTTTTTTAAATAATAATATTATTATTTAAACAATTAATTTCTTATTTTATCAAACACAATTACGACTAAAATGTAAATGAAATAAATATTTCCTTAAAATAAATTGTTTATATTATATAAAATTACATATATTATATATTATTTATTTTCTTAATATTGTTTTCCTTTAATGTTTTAAATGAAACATTTTGTTTTGCAATTTACCTAAAAAAAGGTTTAAATTTTGATTGGTTAAAAATTTAAAAAAAAAGTCCGTTTATTATAATATACAGTTAAAATTAATTATACTAACCCCCTTTTTTCGGAAGGAATTTTTTCATTATGCGTAGCAATTGTTTTTTTCTTAAATTAAAATATGCTAAATTAAGTAAATGATTGACGGGAAAATTTTCTATGAAAAATATGAAAAAGTTAATAAAGCTTTCAGAATTCTGTCATGGGGTATGATTTCTCCTTTTATGGATAATAGATCAAAGTGTTAATAAATGATGAAATCTTGGCAACTACCATTTTGTTAAATAGGAAAGAATCGGAAATAAAATTGGAACAGGAGACCGCAGCTACTACATTAAGGAAGGTCTTTTCATTTATTGCATTTGGACAATGATGACGCTCATGACTCATCGAGTTCATGATGTTCATGAGTCATGACACTCATGGCGCAAAACAAAACGATCAAAAATAGAACTCAATTAATTGTTCGATAAATTTCGATAAATTTCGATAAATTTCGATAATTTTCGAAAAATTTTCGATTAAATAAATTTATTTTATTTATAAAAATATATATATAATTTATATAATAATAATAATAATAATAATAAAATATCTTTCTTGTAATACTCTTTTTTTTCTTAATCGAACCAATTATTTATCAATTTTCTTGCTTTCCCTAATAATTCATTATATTTCTCATCCAAATCTAAATCTTCTCCTTCTTTAATTTTTATCATCTTTTTTAAAGATCTTTCTGATTTATTATAAAACATTATACTCTCTTCTTTAAATTCTTTCCATAAAATAATTTCAAAATAAGCCAAAGAAATAGCAATTAATAAACATTCTTTTTCTATCTCCTCATTATTATTATCAACTTTATCATCATTATCATCATCATCATCATTTAATTTGATCTGATTTTTATCTTTACCAAAAAATTCATAAAATTTGATCTCATCTAAAATTTTTCCATCAAAAGAAAATAATTTTAAAAAATTAAATAATGTTTCAACATGAACGATTATAGGATTAATCATCCCTTCATGTGATTCAAAAATATTTTCTCTAAAATGTTTATCAAATTCTTCAGGACTTAATTCTTCCAATTCTAATCTTGTTCTTCCTAATGATCTCATATTATTTAAAATTGATTCATCAATAAATCTTACTACTGGTCTAACAAATAATCCTCCAAATACAGGAAATTGCTCAAATTTTCTAACAATTTTATATACTACTGATCCATACATAACTAATCCATTACCTAAATAATAAATTGGATGTTTGTGCTTTATACCTAATGTTAAGGTTTCATATGAATATCTATCTATTACTTCATCTATCCCATTTTTTATAAATGTTACCGGATTTGTAAGTAAGTTTGATGTGAAATATGTGAAATTTCCTGTATATCTTGATAATATACAATTGGAATTTATGCTTAAATTACATAATTCTGATGATACCGTTGATGGTGTATATGAAGGTGAAAAAATTCTTTTCGTAAAATCTTTAAAATATGCGAATGAATTATTATTTGGCTTATAATTGTGATAAATTGAAATTGGCGTGTTATTAATATCTGATGGTGTCTTTGAAGAGAAGATTTCACTCCATTTATTAATCGCCAAAAAACTGAAATCGATGGAAAAAAAAGGAAATCAGGTAAGACTTTTTTTTAAAAAAATTTTTTTTTTTTCAAGTTATAAAAAAATATCGACTCACCTAGTGTAAGTAGAAATTAAATTATACGTTTTACCTAACGATATAATTTTATCCTTGACTTTTGAATCTGAATCAACAGACTTTCCTTTAAAATTATTTAAATTGTTTTCTTCAAAATCGATAAATTTTTTCGCAGCCAAAGTATGAATAATTTTCCCTTTAATAACATGCGAATCTAACGGTACATTAAATTGAACTAAACCTTGTTGAGATTGAGCTTTTATATGTAAAGTTTTGGAAGGTTTAATTCCTTTAGTTAAAAGAGCGTACACTATGGCATTGTGTTTGTTATAAATTAAAGGAATTGCTGAAGGAGCTTGTAAGATTTTAGGTCGTTGATTATTATTATCGTGAGAAAGGTTGGGAGCTAAATAAGTTGATTCATCAAGTTGACTGCGTACTTTATCAGATTCTTCAATTTTATCTTCGTTATCATCATCATCATCATCATCATCGTCATCGACGTCATCATCATCTTCATCATCGTCGTCGTCATCAACATCATAACCGTTATAACCTTCTTCATTATCTAATACAATGATTTCCTTTTCATCACTATAATCCAACAATTCAGTATCACCAACATCTTCTATCCAATTAATTTCATAATTACTTAATGGAATTTCTAAAGAATTTTTTATGATTGATATTAATTTTTTTTCAAACTTATCATTAAAATTAGTAAAAGTTGAATAACCTCTTCCTAATTTTGTTAATAAATCAAAATAATTATAAATATCATTATTACTATTTTCATCACCAACAAATAAAGTGAAAAAATTAAAATTTTCATTAGCGATTTTTTGATTATGAAATAATTCCTTGATTTGTTCATATTGTTTAGTAATTGAATATGAATTCGTTAAATAAAATATTTTTGTAGAATTATTTGTTAACGCGTTGAATATTGATTCAAGTGTAGAATATAAATTAAATTCATTAAAAATATTTTGTTGAGATATATTTTGAACGAATTCAAGAGCTGTGGTAAATGTTGATTGTGAATATTTCTGACTTTTTTCGGGGAAAAGAGATGAGTTTTGTGAGATTACATTGAAAAGGGAATCTTCTGGAAGTGAATAAAGGGCTAATTCTAACGCTTTTAGAATATGACTTAATGTCTGTGAATCTAATGAGCTATTAATTTAGTAAAATATATAATTAAGTTAAATACATAATTAAGTAAAATTTATAGTTAAATTTAACAAATTACAAAAGTTTTACTTACACGTCAACGATGAAAATAAATTCTGATTGGCCAATATAAGGTAAACATTGTGGTACCAAGGTGAGCATAGCACAATTCGTACCAGTCTTTGGATTATATTCAACAAATGCTCTGTAAAAAAAATTGACGGACGTGAACTTATATCTCATAAACAAAATTTTAAAACCATATATGTGCTTTACCTTGGTTTATCTAATCCTTGACTTGAAAACACGAGCACGAAATCCTTTTCCAAATAACTAATTTTTTCATTTAATTTAACTTTAGTCAATTTAGCATCACCAACGTTTAATGCTGATTTAGTAGAATGAGTAGGAGATTCAACACTAGTTATAACTTCAGTCATTCTACAAGTCACAGATATTTCTATCTTACAATTTTCCGAATCAAATTCACTTAAATGATTATTTTCAAAATCAACTTCAGAATTTTTTTCTAAAGAATAATAATTATATTTTTGTGCAATTGCAGTTGGAAGAATGAACCGAATTCCTTCAGATTCAGTATTTTGTCGAAGTTCGGAAACATAAGTTAATTTAATTTCTATAGTTTGACCGGAAGATATTGTACCGATAAAACATTGAAAAACATCAGGCAGTTGGTCATCGATTGTAAGAGCAACATTTCCTTCCTTTAAATTATAATTAATTAATTACATAAAAAAAAATCGAAATTTAAAAAATAAATAATTAAATACTTTAATAGCTTCTTCATATTCTTTAGTTGCCTGGTCAACTTCTTTAACAATTCCTTTAATTTTTCGTTCGTCATCAATTTTTGCTTCAAAGTTACAAATGGTTGAAGAATTAAGAATTGGAAATTTATAGACCGCTTGAATTTGGTTAGATTCGATATATTTATAGGTCTGATGAATCGTTACTGCGGATTTTATAATTAAGAAAAAACGTGTTAAATTTTGATTTGGGATATTATCAAAGTTTACATAAAAGTAAATAATTTACCTTCGGAAATCATATCAATAACTTTTATTAAATACGCAAATGGAAATAAATTATTTAAAAATTTTTTATTTTTTCAAAAAAAAAAAAAAAAAAAAAAAAAATTAGATGTTTGCGGGGTTTTATTATTTAAGTTAATCGAATAAATTACTTATTAATATTTAAAGAATTTTGTGAGTATAATATTAGAGAGGTCTATGGATAGTTTGTTTATCTAAGCGATGCGTGATCTCTGCTTTTAATTGAAATTAGAAAGAATTGTTGTACTAAATAATCATGTAATAGGGGATTTAGTTAAATTAAAGAGTCAGNAATAACTTTTATTAAATACGCAAATGGAAATAAAATAAAAATTTTTTTTTTTTTTTTTTTAAAAAAAAAAAAATTAAGGAAAAAATTCGTTGTTTGCGGGGTTTTATTATTAAAGTTAATCGGAAAAAATAATTATTTATATTTATGGAATTGTGGGAGTATAATATTAGAGAGGTCTATGGATAGTTTGTTTATCTAAGCGATGCGTGATCTCTGCTTTTAATTGAAATTAGAAAGAATTGTTGTACTAAATAATCATGTAATAGGGGATTTAGTTAAATTAAAGAGTCAGGCGGGTGCAAAACTTATGAAAATCTTGAAGGAATAAGTATAACAAGCTTAGTTAGACTATCTGCTGCGGAAGGATTGACAAATTGTTTGTCTAACATGTGTCATCAGTGTTTATCAGAATTGTATATAAAATCCCCTATTTTTTTTTTCGATATTTTTTTTCGAGATTTTTTTTTTTTTGTTGTTTGGAATCCAATGGAGAGTTTTAGAATTTAAGGGTTAAATGTTGTTGAATGAAGGGATTTTTAAAATTTAATAAGTTGTCTAATCTCTAATATGGTTAGTTTAATATATCTATGGTTGGTATTAAAACGGTTAAAATAATAATTTTTCTTTTTACGTTAAATCTCGCCAATTTTTTATAGAACAATATTAATTTTCGATTATTATTTATTTCATTATTGCAGATTTTTCCCGAGTGAACTAGTGAACTATAACGACAAAGAATTGATGCGTCGAATCAACATCGAACTTAAATCTTTTATTTTTCTTATTTTTTATATTTTGAATTATTTTTTGGTGGGTCATTGTGTCACCCTTTTTATTATTTTGGATGAATACCATATTTAAGTTCAGAATCCCAACCTCCAACTTTATTGATGTATAACATTATTTCTGATATTAAACCTTCTTTGTATATTTTATTGAAGTTCTTTCATACATAATTCGCATGATTTTTTGCCTCGGCAATTCACAACATAGAATTTTTTTCAATGTGTATATATTTGTATTTATATTAAATCTTGTATATTAGTATATAATTTATTTGTTTTTTTGTATATATTTCGCTTATATATTTTTATATTTTTATACATTATCTTTTAAATTTTTTGGCGCGGTGGATCTATAATTTTATACATTACTCTATCCCATTTATCCCAGTTTGGAATTAAACCTTTCCATTAATTATTTATTTATATTTTATTTTATTAATTCTAATATTATTTATTATTTTTGGACGATTTGTCAAACACATTCCTCTCTTCATGACCTGTCTCTTATACACATCTAGATGTGTATAAGAGACAGATACATTACTCTATCCCATTTATCCCAGTTTGGAATTAAACCTTTCCATTAATTATTTATTTATATTTTATTTTATTAATTCTAATATTATTTATTATTTTTGGACGATTTGTCAAACACATTCCTCTCTTCATGACCTTGAATTATATTTCAAACAAATGGATCAAAATGAACGAACCGATAATGGTTTCGAACCAACTACTATAACCTTTGACTCCCAAGACTATCATACCACTTCATGGATGGAGTCATTAACGACTTAATGCGCTCAAATTCACAAATTTTGAATATTATTTCTCAAAATCTCATTCTTAATTAAAAACATTTTTCAACATATATTATATTTTTTATACTTATTGAAATCTCTTACAATAATAACAATAATAATAATTATAATCATAATTAAAATATAAAACAATAAAGGTAAGCATTCTTATTTTTTTTTTCTATCGATCGACTAAATGGCGTTCATTTACTATTATGTTATTGATTATTCATCGTTATTTTTTTTTTTCTTAGGTTCATGGGAGATATGGGAGATACATAAAAATCCGTTTATTGATATTTTTTATTTTTCATACAATTATTAAAAAGAATTCTTAAACTTGTTATTTATAGAACTTTGGGTGGGTTTAGGTATCCGGTTGTTAATTTTTATATTTTATACCACTATATTTCTACATTCTAATATACCTTCCCACCCTTTAATTAGATTATATATATATATAAGAAAATAATTATTTTAAAAATTTTTTTTTATAATTTCAATATCATCTTTTAAAACTTTTCCCGATTTTACATATATTTTTTATTATTTCTAATCTTCTAATCTAAAAAATACACGCGACAAATTCAAAATAATAATTTAATTATTTAATCCTTTTATTATCTTTCAAATGATTATAAATATATTTTTAACTTATTATAATTTTTATCGAAGATTTCTTTCTATTCTTATATTTACTTATATTTTGATTTATTTTTATATTTTCTTCTTCTTTTTGGGATATTTGGAAATTATTTATTTCACGTTTCAAACACATTTTATAATCGGGAATATCGGGAAGTTTTTTTTATATTATTACTTAGTTACTTAAATCCACCGCGTCGAAAAGATTTATCCCTTACTCTAATTAAATTTCTTTATACATTAATATTTTAATTTTGAATACCCTTTTACTGTTTAACCAATTATTAATGAGCAACTTATATTCAATATTTAAAGGAATAATCTAATTATATTAGATTTTTAGATAGGAAAGATTTTTTTTACTGAATAGATTTTTTTTTAACCTTTTTTTTTTTACGAAAACAAAAGGAAAAAAAGAAAAATTTGGATGGAGTAAATGATATGATTTTGGAAAAAGGACAATGTTTTAAAAGAATTTTTTTTATGGGTGGAGATGGATTGATATATTCAATTTTAACGAAAAAATTTATTGTATATATATAGTAGGATTTTGTTTTTTATCGCCATAGCGAAATATCGCCACACCCCAAAATATCACATGATAAACAATTTCACGTGATTGATATATTTACATATTCGAACAATTATTATTTATTAGCAAAGCGAAAAAAAAAAATATATTATTATACACATTATTACAGCAAATAGTACATTAATTATACATTATAATAATATTAATGAATTAGTCATCTATTCATTGTTCTTTGCAATTCTTTTGATAATGCCCAACTTTCCCACATTTTTTACATCGACGTTGTGTTTTTGTTTTAGAACTAGATATTTCACATGATGACTTAAACCTTTTCGTACCCAATGGTCTCCCTTTTCCACGCCGTTTCTTTGGATTCTGTAACAATGGTATTGATGGATCGAAATTCTCCTTGTCACTTGTGTCATCATATTGATAAAATTCTTCAGAGTCCGTTTCATCATCATCATTTTTATCATCCGCAAATTCTTGTAGTAAACTGATAAGCTGTTCCGATTTAGAAGTTGTTTGTAAAGCCTTATTTAAGGCTTTCTTATATACACCATGTAATTTACCATAAACAATTATTTGTTCAAAAACTGTTAATCTTTCCTCACAATAATCATTATTGTTTTGATCAAATAAACATAAACTTGATACAAATTCGTCGGTATTATATTCAATCTATTGATTGTCTTGTAAAAACTTATCAACAGTTATAAATAATTCTTGTACAGCATTTCTGTCTTCATTATACCATCGCGTTGAAATAAATATAATATGAAAAACTGCTTCTTTTGTAGTTAACATCACTTGAAAATAATGTCTGCATATAATACCACTCTGTACAATTGAAAGACAAGAACAAATATATCCCCAATTTTGTAATAATAAAATGTAATGCTTGATCTTTGACGAATTACCAACACTGACAGCCCAAATTTCTTTAACATTATTTAGACCAACATAACTTATTATTTGTTTTAAAGTAGCCTGTGGAAGATCAATTTCTGATGCTTCATCAGAATTTTTAGTTAATAATTCTTCTTCCATTACTTCACAATTTCGTTCAACCAGCATTGCTACATAATATAGTGATTGGTTCATCTCATCACGATGCATTTTTAACATTGTAGGAGTAAGATAATGTTGAAGAATTTGATCGATTTTAGAAAATAAAAAGTTTGAATTTTTCTGATGTCATATGGTAGGAATCGATAAACGCCAGAAATTATATTCATTTTCCTTGTCTTGCAAATCAAGTAGTCTTTGAATTTCAGCTACAAGATCGCATAATGGTATGTTGGAATTGTGCAATAATCGTTTTAAACAGCCATTTACAGATTCAACTCTAGAACTGGCTATCATTCCTCCTGTAAACTTGAATTTAGTATAACAATGAGCCCAATACATTTTTGTTTTATAAATAAATTCCAGATATGTTTTAGCATTAGGATAATTTTGTAAAAGGTTGTTGAACCATTGCTCAAAAACATTTTCCACAATACAATTTCTACAACTATAGAATGCTGTTAGGAATGCTTGATAATCATTGCCTAGCAATTTTCTGAGATTTTTATGTAAATTTTGTGTAATATGGTATGCACAGTGAATAGGATAACTTGATGGAAGGGTTTGTCGAATAGCTGCATCAACAGCTGAATCAGAATCAGTTATTATAACAATTGGCTGCATACCAGTTGATTTCGTTAATTGGGTAAACATCCAAACATGAGATTCGAAACTTTCATATAGTAGAAGAGCTTGCGCAAGTAAAACATTACGTCTATCATTATTAAAACCAACAACTAATGATAAGGCCATGCCGTATCTGTTTGTCTTATGAGTAATATCATTTATGACACAATCAGAATAACATACCCAATTTTCTACTTGAACTGGAGTCATCCAGAATAAATATGTTAATGTATTATCATCGTCCCATCCCCGAACCACAACCCATCGAGAATCTTTTTCTTTTTCATTATCAAGCCAATTAGAAATTTGAGCAGCATCATTTGACAAAGATTTGCTATTTGGGCGAAACTTTTTAATAGTAGCATAAAGATCCTTCGAAAATATAGGGTGTGAAGGAAATTTCCCTTCAAGAAACTTTCGTTGAGATGTAGCACCAAACTTGCAGTGAATGGTCATAAACTTAATGTCTTCAATCATTTCCATAGTAAATTTCTTTGATTCCTCAAATTCAATAATTGACCTATTTAATGGATGATTATGATCTTCATTGATTTTATTTATAGACACCAGACCTTCGGGATTTTTGTTTTTTGGACATGAAACATTAATGGAAAAGGGACAATTTAATTTCTTTGTAGCAGTATTTCTTGATGAATTTGATTCATAAGTACGTCCATGAGAGCAGATAAATGTTCTTCGACGAATAACACCATCATCACGAGTGACACGATCTTTTATTAAATGAAAGCCTTGTTGTTTTGCCCATTCATTTAAAAACATTTCACATTCATCCCACGAAGTAAATTTCTTTCCTGAAAACAAAGCTGAATCACTATTTTCATTAAGCAATAGTAATCTATCAATACCTATTATATAATCGCAAAATAAACAATAAAAATTTTAGTAAATATGACGAAATCTTAACACTAAACTGTAACCCTCTCTAACCCAAACCCTAACCCTAACTAATCCTAACCCTAACCCTAACCAGACCAACCAGACCCTAACCCTAATCCTAACCAGACCCTAACCCTAACCCTAACCCTAATCCTAACTCTAATACTAACATGAATTCAAAACAACATATTTCATAGCAAAGATACCTGCAGCTGCTAATAAGTTTGATGATTCATCAGTATCGCCAGTACTGTCAGTAGCGTCAGTATAAGCTCGTTCATTTACATTCATATTAGAAGTGGTGTTGTTGTAATTAAGGTAGTAGGTTAAGGGTAAAAATATCAGTGTTTTTATAAGGAATAGTTAGATAAAAAGAGTAAAAATGAATGAAATAACTTTATAAATACTTGTGTCAGTTAAAATGCTAAAGGAGGGAAAAAAAGCTTCGTAAGAAGGATAAAAAAGTTTCGTGGGAAGTATAAAAAAAGTTTAAGGATAAAAAGAAAGCATGGGAAGAGATTTGATAATCATTACTTCATATCACGTGACATATCACATGACAAATGGATACTAGCGATGAATCGCATACGCGATAAATGATAATTTTCTATATAGTATATTATTCATCTTATTAATTTTTCGTAATAATGTATTTAAAAAATTTGCTAATGTAACGTACTTATTATTAATATTATATTATTAAATCGAATTCTATTTTAAGTAACTTCGTGAATTATGAATCTTTGATTTTAATAAAAGGTATTAATTAAAATGTATCCTTATATATATTCTATATAACAATAAGATAGATGACACGACTTGACGACTTGTTAACAGCTCAAAAATCAAATATGTTAAATATCGCCTTTATTTCAATTGACTTTGGTAATAAAGAAAAAGATATTTAACATATCGATGAGCAGTTTAGATTTTAAAAGTCAAACTGATTTCGGATTAAATATAAATTAATGCATGTAATTCAAAGTTCAAATAAACGCACTACGTATATACTGTATACAGTATACATGATATATTCATTATTTTTAAAAATCTAGTGAAAGGCCATTTGTCAAACAAAGAACATAATTGTGAAATCAATTTCATTCTAAAGAAACCTTTCCACTGAAACGTAAACCAATATCAATCATTAAGCTTGGAAAAAATTGTTGATGGATTTAGATCAATAATCTCTCGCTAAAATATGGAAGGTTAAAAGAGATTTGTATTTCGTACTCAAATTATTGATTTAACAATCAATGAAAAAAAAGTCACTATTATACTCACTAGTTAAAATAAACTGTAATTATATTTGTTTAATGTAGATCCATAATTTAAATACATCTAACTTTATTAATTGTAGCTAAAAATATTATAAATGCAATACAAATGTTTAAATTAAAAGAATTTTTAACATGAATTAAATTTGTAAGTTTTCAATCTATTTTGAGCTTTTTGATGTCCTTGTTTTGCAGATTTTTCAAACCAGTAAATTGCTTTATTTATATCTTTCTCAATTCCACCCCCCATTTCATACATAAGAGCAAGGTTATTTTGAGCATCCATATCTCCTAAATCTGCTGCTTTTTGATATAATTCAAACGCTTTTTGTTTATTAACACTAGTTCCAATTCCAATATCATAACAATATCCTAATCCACTTATTCCTTCCTTACATCCTCCTTCAGCTGAATGTTTTGATAATTTAAAAGCTTTGTTATGATCTTTATCAACCCCTTCTCCATTTATATACATTATAGAAAGATTTTTTTGAGCCACGTTATTTCCTAAATTTGCTGCTTTTTCATATAAATAAGCAGCTTTTTCTAAGTCTTTTTTAACCCATACGCCAAAATAATAAAAACAACCAATTTTAAATATTCCCTCCGCAAAATCCTTATTAGCTGATTTTTCAAAATATTCAAAAGCTAGCTTTTCATTTTTTCCAGTCCCATGACCAAATTGATAACATAATCCAACAAAATATTGTGCCAATATATGGTCTTGCTTTGATGCTTTGATAAATAAATTAAATGCTTGAATATTATTTTCAGTAATTTCAATTCCATAATAATTAAAGTATCCAAGTAAGAAAATAGAATCCAAATTATTTTGATTATCTATCAACCAATTATAAATTTCTTGCGATTTTATATCACGACTATCAAAATAATTTAAAATATATCCACATGCATTTTTCCCTTCATTAATTAATTTAAAGATAAATTCTACTATTTCATAAATTATTTTACTTAAATTCTTTTCAGATAAAATATTTTCATTAATTATTTGTTCATTTGCTGATAAAGATATTATTTCTTTTGTATTCATTTTATCAAAATTTTGAATAATTTGAGACAAATCTCCATGGTATGAATTACTAACACTTGAAGAAGTATTAACATTAGTTGAATTAATATCTTGCTCGTCTGATAATTGAAGATCTGATTTAATTTGGCGATTTTCTGTTATCATGCTTGTTTTTGCAATCATTGCTTTTAATCTTTCTACCACCTGGTCAATAGTTGGACGATTATCTGGTTCACCATCCCAACAATCTAAAAAAAAAGAATATATAATTTAAGAAATAAATTATAGTAATATATTGAATAATATTTAAATATTAATTACCAGTATAAAGTTTTATATAATTTTCAGGTGCATCAGGAATAGGATCTTCTCTAAGACCTTCTTTAATTTCTATAGCCAAATCAAGATCATATTCGTCATTAGAAAAGGGAGGTTGTCCGCTAGATATCTCCCATAACAGTACTCCAACACTGTAAACATCGCTTTTTTCGTTAAATGAGGATAATTGTGTTGAATTTTTATTATTTCTTCGTTTACCGAATCTTTTTGGATCAACGTAAGGAATTATTCCGAATAATTTTGATTGTTTGGACGATGATCCAATTCTTTTTGACAACCCGAAATCGGCTACCTTTATTGTGTTTCTATGAACCAATATATTACCTGAATGCTATAAATATATATTAAATTTATAATTATAAAAATAAAAATTTAATTTAATTAAATTAACATAATTACCAAATCACGATGAATGATCCCTTCATTATGTAAACACGACACGCCACAAGCTAACTGGTACGCCAAGTTATATTTATCATCCCAGGTGAGATTATCAAAGTTTTTCTTTAAATAATCTTTAAGAGTACCAGAATCGGCATATTCCATGACTAATAAATATTTTATTAATAAATCATCTTGATTGTCTAACGAGTTAAAAAGAAATAATTAAAATTAATTTTATTACATTTTTTGAATAAGTCAAATAACATAATTTTGAATATTATCTATCATTGGATTATTTTTATTATACCTGACTCAAATTTTGTAACTCCATAGAAATTAATAATATTATCATGAAATTGTATTTCTCTTTGAAGTTTAAGCTATATTATAAATATGAATTTAATTAGTATATAATACGATCATTATTAATGTAAAGCTACTATTATTATATTTTTTAATTACCTCATGTACAATTTCTTTTACAGTGACGTTGTTAAGATCAAAAAAAGATTTCAACGCTATAAATTGATCCGAATTTTTCCAATTTGCACGATAAACTTTTCCGAATGCTCCAGAACCAATTACTTGAGTATTATTAAAATGCTTGTATTCATAACTTTTAAAATATCCTTTAACAATAGCTTCTTCAATCCAAGTAACCCACTCATCTGTATTTTCAGTATCCTGCATTTCGATATTATTAGACATTGTGGAAGTATGAACGATAACAAAGACTACTTGTCGTACGAAAAAAAATGAAATCCCAGTTATATGAATTCTGGGTAATACACGACAGAAAAGGAATTAATTTTGGTAAGTGCGAGATCAAAAAATGTAAGATCGACATTTTATGATAGTAATATTCGCTGAACGTTCTGCAAAGGAAATGAAAATTTATTAAACATATTATCTATTTCAACTTGCTTTGTTGCTTGATTCACTAAAGACTGGGTGATGAAATTAATTACCACACTTATTTACTTGATCATCTGACAATATTCAAAATATTTTCGATGCGAATAGAAATGAAAGTTGAATTTTCTCAATCAGATTCGAATATAAATAATGTTATATGCTAACAATCGGGTCAAATTTTTTAAAAAATATTTTTACGGGTGGTGATAGGTTAATATATTCAATTTTAACGAAAAAATTTAATGTATATATAGTATATTATTCATCTTATTAATTTTTCGTAATAATGTATTTAAGAAATTGTTAATGTATTATTATTAATTAAATCCAATTCTATTTAAAGTAATTATGAATCTTTGATTTAATAAAAGGTATTAATTAAAATGTATCTTTAATTCCTTATATATGATTCTATATAACGACAAACGCAATAAGATAGATGGCACGACTTGACGACTTGTTAACAGCTCAAAAATCAAATATGCTGAAATATCGCTTTTATTTCAATAAACTTTGGTAATAATAAAGAAAAAGATATTTAACATATCGATGATGCAGTTTAGATTTTAAAAGTCAAACTGTGATTTCAGATTAAATATAAATAATGCATGTAATTCAAAGTTCAAATAAACGCACTACGTATATACTGTATACATATACAGTATACACGGTATATTCATTATTTTTAAAAATCTAGTGAAAGGTCATTTGTCAAAGAACATAATTGTGAAATCAATTTCATTCTAAAAAAACCTTTTCAGTGAAACGTAAACTAATATCAATTATTAAGCTTGGAAAAAATTGTTGATGGATTTAGATCAATAATCTCTCACTAAAATGTGGAAGGTTAATCGTTGAATTGGACCGGAAAGTATAAATAAAAGAGATTAGTATTTCGTACTCAAATTATTGATTTAACAATCAGTGAAAAAAAAGTCACTATTATACTAGTTAAAATAAAACTGTAATTATATTTGTCTAATGTAAATCCATAATTTAATACATCTAACTTTATTAATTAAAATTAAAAATATTATAAATGCAATACAAATGTATAAATTAAAAGAATTTTTATCTTACATGAATTACTTTTTTAAGTTTTTCAAACTATTTTGAGCTTTTTGTAATCCTTGTTTTGCAGATTTTTCAAACCAGTAAATTGCTTTATTTATATCTTTCCACATTCCATTCCCCATTTCATACTTATCACCAAGGATATTTTGAGCAATCGTATCTCCTAAATCTGCTGCTTTTTGATATAATTCAAACGCTTTTTGTTTATTAACACTAGTTCCAATCCCAAAACTATAACAATATCCTAATAATCTTATTCCACCGATAAATTCTCCTTCGGCTGATTGTTTTGATAATTCAAATGCCTTGTTATCATCTTTATCAACACCATATCCATTCATATACATTATAGCAAGGTTATATTGAGCTAAAATATTTCCTAAATTTGCTGCTTTTTCATATAAAGAGAAAGCTTTCTTTAAGTCTTTTTTAATCCCCATGCCTCTTTCGTAAAAATAACCAAGATAATTTATTCCTGACGGATAATTCTTATTAGCTACTTTTTCAAAAAATTTAAAAGCTATCTTTTCATTTTTTTCGGTTCCATATCCAAATTCGTAACATAATCCAACATAAACCTGAGCCAATGTATGATCTTGCTCTGATGCTTTAATAAATAGATTAAACGCTTGAATTATATTATCACTAATTTCAATTCCATAATAATTAAAATATCCAAGTAAGAAATTAGAATCCAAATTATTTTGATTATCTATCAACCAATTATAAATTTCTTGCGATGTTATATTACGACTATCGAAATGATCAAAAATATATTCGTATGGATTTTTTCCTACATTAACCAATTTAAAGATAAATTCTACTATTTCATTAATTATTTTACTAAAATTCTTTTCAAATAAAATACTTTCATTAATTATTTGTTCATTTGTTGATAAAGATATTATTTCATTTGTATTCATTTTATCAAAGTTTTGAATAATTCGAGACAAATCTCCATGGTATGAATTACTGACACTTGAAGAAGTATTAACATTAGTTGGATTAATATCTCGCTCGTCTGATAATTGAAGATCTGATTTAATTTGATGATTTTCTGTTATCACGCTTGTTTTTGTAACCATTGCTTTTAATCTTTCTGCCACTTGATCTATAGTTGGGCGATTATCTGGCTCGCCATCCCAACAATCTAAAAAAAAAAAGAATATATAATTTGAGAAATAAATAAATTATAATATATTGAATAATATTTAAATATTAATTACCAGTATAAAGTTTTATATAATTTTCAGGTGTATCAGGAATAGGATCTTCTCTAAGACCTTCTTTAATATCTATAGCCAAATCAAGGTCAGATTCTTCATTAGAAAAGGGAGGTTGTCCGCTAGATATCTCCCATAACAGTACTCCAACACTGTAAACATCGCTTTTTTCGTTAAATGAGAGCAATTGTGTTGAATTTTTATTATTTTTTCGTTTACCGAATCTTTTTGGATCAACGTAAGGAATTATTCCGAATAATTTTGATTGTCTGGATGATGATCCAATTCTTTTTGACAACCCGAAATCGGCTACCTTTATTGTGTTTCTATGAACCAATATATTATTTGAATGCTATTATAATTAATATATTTAAAATTAATAAAAAATATAAATATAAAAATAAAAATTATACATTTTAATCAAATTAAAATAAATACCAAATCACGATGTACTATATCTTCATTATGTAAGCATGACACAGCACAGGCTAACTGGTAGGCTAAGTTATATTTATTATTCCAGGTAAGATTATTGAAATTTTTCTTCAAATACTCTCTAAGAGTACCAGAATCGGCATATTCCATAACTAATAAATATCTTTTTAATAAAATATCTTGATTGTCTAACGAGTTAAAAAGAAATAATTAAAAAATTAATTTTGTTACATTTTTTAATAAATCAAATAACATATTTTTAAATATTATTCTATAATGGATAGTTTTATTATACCTGATTCAAATTTTGCAATTCCATAATACTTAATAATATTATCATGAAATTGTATTTCTCTTTGAAGTTTAAGCTATATTATAAATATGAATTTAATTAGTATATAATACGATCATTATTAATGTAAAGCTACTATTATTATATTTCTTAATTACCTCATGTACGATTTCTTTTACAGTAAAGTTGTTAAGATTAAAAAAAGATTTTAAAGCTATACATTGTTCCGACTTTTTCCAATTTGCACGATAAACTTTTCCAAATGCGCCGGAACCAATTTCTTGAATATTACTAAAATGTCTGTATTCATAACATTTAAAATATTCTTTAACAATGGCTTCTTCAATCCAATTAGTCCATTCATTTGTATTTTCAGTATTCTGCATTTCGATATTATTAGACGTAGTGGAGTATGAACGACAAAAAGATTATTTGTCATACGGCAAAAATTAAATCCCAGTTATATGAATTCTGGGTAACACACGACAGAAAAGGAATTACTAATTTGTAACATTGCAAGTGCGTGATCAAAAATGTAAGATCGACATTATATGATACTAGTAATATTCGCTGAACGTTCTACAAAGGAAATGATGAAAGTAAAAAATTTATTTTAAAAACAAATTATCTATTTCAACTTGCTTTGTTGATTGATTCACTAAAGACTGAGTGATGAAATTAATTACCACACTTGTTTACTTGATCATCTGACAATATTCAAAATATTCTCGAAATAGATATGAAAGTTGAATTTTCTCAATCAGATTCAAACGTTATATAAATAATATTATATGCTAACGATCGGAACAAATTTTAAAAAAAAATTTTTTAGCGGATGGAGATAGGTTAATGTATTTAATTTTAGCGAAAAAAATTTATTGTATATATAGTATATTATTAATCTTATTCTATTTTAAGTAATTTACGTGAATTATGAATCTTTGATTTAATAAAAGGTATGTATCCTTATATTTATTCTTTATAACAATAGACGCAATAAGATAGATGCATGACTTGACGACTTGTTAACAGCTCAAAAATCAAATATATTGAAATATCTCCTTTATTTCAATAAACTTTGGTAATTAAGAAAAAGATATTTAATATATCGATGATGCAGCTTAGATTTTAAAAGTTAAACGGTGATTTCCAGATTAAATATAAATTAATGCATGTAATTTAAAGTTCAAAAAAACGCACTACATATATACTGTATACAGTATACACGGTATATTCATTATTTTTAAAAATCTAGTGAAAGGTCATTTGTCAAGAACATAATTGTGGAATCAATTTCAACCTTTCCACTGAAACGTAAACCAATATCAATTATTAAGCTTGGAAAAATTGTTGATGGATAGATTTAAATCAATAATCTCTCATTAAAATGTGGAAGGTTAATCGTTAAATTGGACCGGAAAGTATAAATAAAAGAGGTTAATATTTCGTACTCAAATTATTGATTTAACAATCAATGAAAAAAAAGTCACTATTATAGTTAAGATAAACTGTAATTACATCTCTTAAATGTAAATCCATAATTTAAATACATCTAACTTTATTAATGCAATACAAATTTTATAAATTAAAAGAATTTTTATCTTACATGAATTACTTTAAGTTTTTCAATCTATTTTGAGCACCTTGATGTCCTTGTTTAGCGGATTTTTCAGTCCAGTAAATTGCTTTATTTATATCTTTCTCAATTCCATCCCCATTTTCATACATATTACCAAGATTATATTGAGCATACATATCTCCTAAATCTGCTGCTTTTTGATATAATTCAAATGCTCTTTGTTTATTAACACTAGTTCCAATTCCGCAACTATAACAAAATCCTAATACTCTAAATCCCTCCTTACATTCTCCTTCAGCTGATTGTTTTGATAATTTAAAAGCTTTATTATAATCTTTATCAATCCCTTCTCCATTTATACGTAATACAGAAAGGTTATGTTGAGCCATACTATTTCCTAACTTTGCTGCTTTTTCATATAAATAATCAGCTCTTTTTAAGTTTTTTTTAACCTCTATACCATTGTTATAAAAATAACCAATTTTGATTATTCCCGATGCAAAATCCTTACTAGCTACCTTTTCATAATATTCAAAAGCTAGCTTTTCATTTTTTTCGGTTCCATATCCATATTCATAACATAATCCAACAAAATATTGTGACAATATATGATCTTGCTTTGATGCCTTATCAAATAAATTAAATGCTTGATTAGGATTTATACTACTACTAGTAGTTTCAATTCCATAATAATTAAAGTATCCAAGTAAGAAAATAGAATCCAAATTATTATGATTATCTATCAACCAATCATAAATTTCTTGTGATTTTATATTACGACTATCAAAATAACCAAAAATATATTCGTATGAAGTTTTTCCTACATTAACCAATTTAAAGATAAATTTTACTATTTCATTAATTATTTTACTTAAATTCTTTTCAGATAAAATACTTTCATTAATTATTTGTTCATTTGCTGATATTTCTTTTGTATTCATTTTATCAAAATTATGAATAATTTGAGACAATTCCCCATGGTATGAATTACTGACACTAGAAGAAGTATTAACATTAGTTGGATTAATATCTTGCTCATTTGATAATTGAAGATCTGATTTAATTTGGTGATTTTCTGTTATCATGCTTGTTTTTATAATCATTGCTTTTAATTTTTCTACCACCTGGTCAATAGTTGGACGATTATCAGGCTCTCCATCCCAACAACCTAAAAAAAAGAACATATAATTTAAGAAATAAATTACAATGTATTTAATAAAATTTAATATAATTACCAGTATAAAGTTCTATATAATTTTCAGGTGTATCAGGAATAGGATCTTCTCTAAGACCTTCTTTAATTTCTATAGCCAAATCAAGATCATATTCTTCAGTAGAAAAGGGAGGTTTTCCGCTAGATATTTCCCATAACAGTACTCCAACACTGTAAATATCGCTCTTTTCATTAAATGAGGATTGTGTTGAATTTTTATTTTTTTTTCGTCCTAATCTTTTTGGATCAACGTAAGGAATCATTCCGAATAATTTTGATTGTTTGGACGATGATCCAATTCTTTTTGACAACCCAAAATCGGCTACCTTTATTGTGTTTCTATGAACCAATATATTATTTGAATGCTAATAAATTAATATATTTAAAATTAATAAAAAAAATATAAAAATAAAAATTTACGTTTTAATTAAATTAAATTAAATACCAAATCACGATGTACTATCTCTTCATTATGTAAGCATGACACAGCACAGGCTAACTGGTAGGCTAAGTTATATTTATTATTCCAGGTAAGATTATTGAAATTTTTCTTTAAATAATCTCTAAGAGTACCAGAATCGGCATATTCCATAACTAATAAATATCTTTTTAATAAATCATTTTGAATGCCTAACGAGTTAAAAAGGAATAATTAAAAAATTAATTTTATTACATTTTTGATAAATCAAATAACATATTTTTAAATATGATTCTTATCATTGGATAGTTTTTATTATACCTGTATCAAATTTTGTAATTCCATAATACTTAATAATATTATCATGAAATTGTATTTCTTTTTGAAGTTTAAGCTATAGAATGAATATAAATTAATGAGTATATATTATACTAATTACTAGTATCGAAGTGAAGCTATTATATTTCTTAATTACCTCATGTACAATTTCTTTTACAGTGACGTTGTTAAGATTAAAAAAAGATTTCAAAGATATACACTGTTCCGAATTTTTCCAATTTGCGCGATAAACTTTTCCGAATGAACCGGAGCCAATTTCTTGAATATTATTAAAATGTCTGTATTCATAACATTTAAAATATTCTTTATCAATAGCTTCTTCAATCCAATTAATCCATTCATTCGTATTTTCAGTATTCTGCATTTCGATATTATTAGTCATAGTGGAGTATGAACAAAACAAAGATTATTTGTCGTACGGAAAAAATGAAAGTCATTTATATGAATTCTAGTAACACATGACAGAAAAGGAATTAATTTTGTAACATTGGCAACATCGAGATCAAAAAATATAAGATCGACATTATATGATAGTAATATTTGCTGAACGTTCTACAAAGGAAACGATGAAAGTAAAAAATTTATTAAACAAATTATCTATTTCAACTTGCTTTGTTGCTTGATTCACTAAAGACTGGGTGAATGAAATTACTCTTATTTACTTGATCATCTGACAATATTCAAAATATTCTCGAATAGAAATGAAAGTTGAATTTCTCAATCAGATTCGAATGTTATATATTTGCAACAGGGTGGGACATCCTTTATATCACCTTGCCGATCATATAGTAATTTGGTATCGGTTCGGGCGAAGCCACAGAAGTTCGGGCGAAACTTGAAACTTTTATGGGTTATAGATTAACAGCTTTAAAATTAATAGCCGAAATAACACAGTGAAATTTTAGGTAACACAAAAGTTATGGGCGAAATAATATTTGCAATTATATTGGTATAATTTATATAATAAATAGAGGTTTTAAATATAATTTCTCAATCAATTTGTGTAAATATTTATGAACTTACTATCAAAATGTTCGTCTTGATGAGATGAATTTAACAAGCTATAAAACATTAAAATTTGATCAAATTACTCAATTTAAAAATTCAGCCCATTTTCTAGTTAATTTTTGGATTTGAAAACATTTAATTTTCGGGCTTTTGTATGAATTTGATAATGCATAGCAGAATTTGCAAAAAATAATCCATAGTTATGTGATAATATCGATAATACGCCCTGTTGTTATATGCTAACGATTTTAATTTAAATTATTTTCGTCTCGATGATTTTATTTTTTGCATACTTTTTTTGTTACGAACGTATTTTATTACCAACTGAAATATATTTAAAAATTGGGATCAGTTGATGAATGTTTAACAAATTAAGGCAAAAATTTCGTAATGCAATAAATTAATTATATGGTGATAAACGAATATAAAACATTTTAAACTTGGTAAGTGTTAAATCATAGTTTTTTAAATTCCTGTATTTTTTATTTGGCCCAATAATGGTAAATAAAAAAAATCATTTTAAAATTTTTTTAATAGAAACACCAACACAATGAATGTCAAGGTTTCTTTTATTTATTTATTACTTTTGATATACAGTATTTATATATATTTTTTTGAAATAATTTTCATTATAATCGGGAATTATTATTATTATTTAGTTATTTACACCACCCTTAATCTAATTATACGTTAGTAGTATTTAATTTTGAATACCCTTTAATATTTAACTGTATCCGATATTTCAATGAATGATATTTTATATGTATTTATACTATGGGAAGATTTTTAATAGAGATTTTTACTTACTTTTTTTACTAAAACAAAAAAAAAAAGAAAAATTTTTGGACGGAGTAAATGATATGATTTTGGAAAAATACCGGTAGAGATGGATTAATATATTTAATTTTAACGAAAAAATTATTGTATATACAGTATAGTATATTATTCATCTTATTGATCTTTCGTAATAATGTATTTAAAATTTTTAATGTTTATACTTATTATTAAATCGAATTCTATTGATTTTATTAAGTGATTTACGCGAATTAAGATGATCTAATAAAAGGTATTACTAATTAAAATGTGTCAATTTACAGTATACTATGTAAAAATGAACGCAATAAACGCTTACATAGTAGTTACACTGATACATGTTTGAAAAATAAGCCGTAAAAGCGGCAAAAATTTTGATTTTTTTTATGGTATTATTATTTTACTTGCCGTTAATGTTAACTTTATGAGTCGTTATAGCGCGACTTGACGACTTGTCAACTGCTTAAAAATCGAAAATGTTGAAATACCGCCTTTATTTTGACAAACTATGAGATAATAAAGATAAAATAAGATATTTAACATATCAAAAATGCAGATTAGAATTTAAAAGTCAAAAGATGATTTCAAGATTAAATATAACATGCAATTCATGATATAATTTAAAAAATTAATGATTTATATAAGGTTATTACAAAACTTTAAAAACGCACAACATACAGTATACTCTGATACATTATACACAGTATATTCATTTTTTAAAAAATCTAGTGAAAGATCATTTGTCAAAATGTAATTACGAAATCTATTTCATACTAAAGAAGCATTTCCGCTGAAACATAAACTTTAATATCAATTATGAAGCCTTAAAAAAATTGTTGATGGATCTTAATAATATAGTATATCAAATGCAACAGTGGAGAGAATTTTTTCGCACCAAAATTTAATTAAAACAAAGCTTCGAAATAAGCTTTGCACAGAAAATTTGAATAAATATTTTTAAAATGATTTTAATCAATGGTCCTGATATAGAAGATTTTGACTTTGAAAAAGCATACGATAATTGGATTAATTTAAAAGCAAGGCGGATGCAAAATGTAGTAAATTCTCAAGAGTGAAATTAATTTTTATTAATGAATTCGTAAATAAACATTTTTAGCGTAAATTTTTATATTTTAGTAATAAATAGAATTTTTTTGAGCTTTTGCTTTTATATATAAAGAGCAGATAAAATATTTTTTTGCGCATATCCTTTTAAATTTGAATAAGCGGTAAATGCACTGGCCGTCATCTGAATCACGTATTGGACCAATAATGTAGCTCGAACGCACAACATATTTTTCCGACGTATAAAATATTTATTTAACGATATGTCTATTTTAAAATTTATAATATAATAAATATAATAATATAAAATATTCAAAAAAAATATATTAGACCATAATATAAACCATCATGTGTATCATGTGTACCATGTGATAAATTATTAATGACTGCCGCGGTCCAATTAAGAACTACAAATCTTTTTTTCTAACGAAACTTCCCCTTTCCGTCTTTTCTCTTTTACCCACTGTAAAAAAAAAAAAAAAAAAATGAATAGTATCCACTTGGCCATCTAAAAAAGTACGTAATGATTAGTTTATTTCTTTTCGTATTCATTACTAACTTTTGCCTTTTGTTTTTATAGGGTTCAACTTCTTAATCATTTAATGAAAGTTTCATTCTTTTCTTTTTTCAAACGCGTGGAATTTGGTAAGAATTCAGATAATTTTTTTAATACATTCTTTTAATGAAATGTTAGAAACGTTTCATTCATTTTTTTTGAGCAGGCCCGGATTCCGGAGAGTGGATTTCTGGTAGGAATTCTCTTTGGGGCATTTTTTTTTACAAAATGGGACCAATGTTTCATTTTACCTTTTAGTTAGATCATGTTGATGCTACTTTGGATCTTTGGAAGCATAGGACTTCGTAGAAGAATCCGAAGAATTAGTTTTTTCATTAATTTTTCGAAGTACCAGCCCCCAATTTTTGGATGTTAAGAGTAGTAAATTTCAAAGATATCAAAATAAAAAAAAAATGGTCTTTTTCAGGTGGGACTTCTGAAAAATGAAAATCCTATATATAAATGAATCCTCAAATTTTCACATTTTTACATACGTATAATTTTAAGAGCAATTAATAGGTATGGAATATTTAGAATATTTGGAGAGAACGTAATTAATTTATGTGTATTATCTTAAAGGATATACAATATATGATATTGCTTCGATACTTAATTACATATTTACTAAATTTAACAACGTATTAAAAAATTTTAACAATATATTTATTAAATTTTATTACTAAATTTTATCGAGATGGTTAAAAAATTGTAAACGACTTTGATAATAAATTCGTGACGATTTATTGAAAAATTAATCTGCAAGCGTCTTAATGTGCAGTAACTGCATGTACGTTTCAGCAAGGTAGTTTTGTCAAATAGTTTACTCCTATGGCCCTACCCAATTTAGCATCGATTTACCGATCTAAATTTAACTTTCCCTTTTTAATAATTAACTTACAGGGTGATTTGATAGTTAAATAAGTTATGTTTATTAGAACGGATTCGATTTAAAACTCTTCGTCCTCATCTTAATAATTTATACTTTACGTGCTTTTTTTTATAAACGTAATATAGTATTTAATAATAAAAACACAAATATTGCGCTATTTTCTAAAAAAAATCTATTATACCATTATACCATTACTTATTATCAATATTAGATATTATTAAATCGAATTCTATTTTAAGTAATTTATGTAAATTATGAATCTTTGATCTAATAAAGGATGTACTAAGAATAAACGCAACAAACACCTAAAAAAAATAAGTCGTAAAAAGCATCAAAAATTTTGAATACATATCTTTTATTTATTTCATTTGCCGTTAACGTAAGTTAACTTTATGAATCGTTATATATTCATTCTAATGTCCGGTATTTTATGTTGACAAAAAAAAACGTTGTCTATTGGCAATGAAAAAGATACAATGGAAAGATAGATGGCACGAATTGACAATTATTAGCAGCTTCAAAGATCGAATATGTTAAAGGTTGAAATATCGCCTTTATTTTAACAAACTTTGGTAATAAAAATAAAATAAGATATTTAACATATCAATCATGATGCAGATTAGATTTTATGATTTTAGATTAAAAATTAATGCATGTAATTCATTGGCATAAAAGATATAATTTAAACAAGTAATGATTTATATAAGGTTATTACAAAGTTCAAAAAAAACGCACAGCATATACTTATACAGTATACACGGTACAACGTGAAATTCGATATAACGTTCCATTAGTAAAATTTATCAAAAATCCGTTATATCAAGAATTCCGTTATATTGAGGGCAAATTAATTATACGTTATGATAATCCGTTCCAGACCTCAATTCCGATATATCAAGATTTTACTTATGATCTGTTATATTGAGGTTCCGGTATATCGAATTTCTGTGTATATCCATTTTTCTAAATATCTAATGAAAGGTCATTGTCAAAAATGTAATTGCAGAATCTATTACATTCTAAAGAAACTTTTCACCGAAACATAAAATTCAATATCAATCATGAAGCTTGGAAAAAATTGTTGATGGGTCTAAATCAATAATATTTCACTAAAATGTAAAAGGTTAATCGCTGAAATTGGTCCGGAACTCCGGATATGAATAGTATTTCATACTCAAATTATTATTGATTTATAAACAATCAATGAAAAAAATAACAAGCCACTATCATTTTCTTTATAGTTAAAATAAAAAACTATAATTAATATTTGTTTAACGTAAATCCATAGCATTTAACTTTATTAATTGTAACTAAAAATATTATACAAATGTATAAATTGAAATAAATAATTCTATCTTACATGAATAAGTTTTTCAATCTATTTGTCCCTTGTTTTGCAGATTGTTCAAACCAATAAATTGCTTTATTTATATCTTTCTCAATTCCATCCCTATTTTATACATAAGAGCATGATTATTTTGAGCATGCATATCTCCTAAATCTGCTGCTTTTTGATATAATTCAAACGCTTTTTGTTTATTAACACTAGTTCCAATTCCATTACTATAACAATATCCTAATCCGTTTATTCCCTCCTTACATTCTCCTTCAGCTGACTGTTCTGATAATTTAAAAGATTTATTATAATCTCTATCAACCCCTTCTCCATTTCTATACATTAAAGCAAGATTATGTTGAGCTGACCTATTTCCTAACTCGGCTGCTTTTTCATATAAATGAGCAGCTTTTTCTAAGTCTTTTTTAACCCATATGCCTACGTCATAAAAATAACCAATTTTAAATATTCCCATTGAAGACTCCTTGTTAGCTAATTTTTCATAATATTCAAAAGCTAGCTTTTCATTTTTTACAGTTCCATAACCAAATTGACAGCATAATCCAACAAAATGATGGCACATATATGACCTTGTTTTGATGCTTTAATAAATAAATTAAATGCTTGATTAAGATCTTTACTAGTTTCAATTCCACAATAATTAAATATCCAAGTAAGAAAATAGAATCCAAATTATTTTGATTATCTATCAACCAATTATAAATTTCTTGCGATTTTATATCACGACTATCAAAATAATCAAAAATATATTCGTATGAATCTTTTCCCACATTAACCAATTTAAAGATAAATTCTACTATTTCATTAATTATTTTACTTAAATTCTTTTCAGATAAAATACTTTCATTAATTATTTGTTCATTTGCTGATATTTCTTTTGTATTCATTTTATCAAAATTTTGAATAATTTGAGACAATTCCCTATGGTATGAATTACTGACACTTGAAGAAGTATTAACATTAGTTGAATTAATATCTTGCTCATCTGATAATTGAAGATCTGATTTAACTTGATGATTTTCTGTTATCACGCTTGTTTTTGCTACTACCTGGTCAATAGTTGGACGATTATCAGGCTCTCCATCCCAACAACCTAAAACAAAGAATATATAATTTAAGAAATAAATTACAATGTATTGAATAAAATTTAATATAATTACCAGTATAAAGTTTTATATAATTTTCAGGTGTATCAGGAATAGGATATTCTCTAATACCTTGCAAAATTTTCATAATCAAACAAAAATCATATTCTTCACTAGTAGAAAAGGGAGGTTGTCCGCTAGATATCTCCCATAACAGTACTCCAACACTGTAAACATCGCTTTTTTCGTTAAATGAGGATAATTGTGTTAAATTTTTATTATTTTTTTGTTTATTAAAATTTTTTGGATCAACGTAAGGAATTATTCCGAATAATTTTGATTGTTTGGACGATGATCCAATTCTTTCTGACAAACCGAAATCGGCTACCTTTATTGTGTTTCTATGAACCAATATATTATTTGAATGCTATTATAATTAATATATTTAAGATTAATAAAAAAATATAAAAATGAAAATTTACATTTTAATAAAATTAATTAAATTAAAATAAATACCAAATCACGGTGTACGATCCCTTCAACATGTAAGCACGACAAGCTAATTGGTACACCATGTTGTATTTATTGTCCCAGGTAAAATTATTGAAATTTTTTTTTAAATAATCTCTAAGAGTACCGGAATCTGCATATTCCATAACTAATAGATATCTTTTTAATGAATCTTGGTTGTCTAACGACTAACGAGTTAAAAAGAAATAATTAAAAAAATTAATTTTATTACATTTTGAATAGTCAAATAACATATTTTTAAATATTATTATCATTGGATAGTTTTATTAATATAATATATACCTGACTCAAACTTTGCAATTCCGTAAAACTTAATAATATTATCATGAAATGGTATGTATTTTTGAAGGTTAAGCTATATAATGAATATAAATTTAATGAGTATATATTATAATTGCTAGTATCGAAGTGAATCTAAATTACCTCATGTACAATTTCTTTTACAGGGACAGATTTTAACGCTATATATTGTTCCGAATCTTTCCAATTTGCACGATGAACTTTTCCGAATGACCCAGAACCAATTTCTTGAATATTACTAAGATGTTTGCGTTCATAAAATTTAAAATATTCTTTAACAATAGCTTCCTCAATCCAACTAACCCATTCATTTATATTTTGCATTTCGTGATTTTCCTTTATACTAATAGTTTTGTAGTCGTTATTGCTTTTAAACTTTTTACTACCTGCCCTATAAAAAAAGTTTGTGCTAAATTTGTGCCAAATGGGTTAATCATACGATATTTGTTTAGAATTTGTTCGAATTTATATTATTTTTTAGTACAAATTTCGAATAAATGTTGTATGATTAGCCCGTTTGGCACAAATTTAGCACAAACCTTTTATAGGGCTTGGCCTATGGTTGGTCGATTACTTGGTTCATTATCCCAACAATCTAAAAAGTACATATCTACATATCCGCCGATCTGCGGAATTAACAAAATTCGTCTAAATTAAGGAATTTGACAACAATTTAATAAAATTAGGTTAATTAAGTTTCGCAAAAATGATCCCACTTGTGCTACATGATCATATAAGAAATTACTTCAACAAAAAAAGTAGCGTTGAAAAATTTTTTTCTTACGTAAACTCCCTATTAAATTCCCCATCAACTTTTCAACTAGTTTTTACATCAAGTTAGTTAAGAATTTTTGCAAGTATATTAGTAATTATTTTACATTAGATACAACTTGGAGCTGTTTTTTTATTTTTATTTTTATAAAAAACTCGATGATTTATAATACACGAGCAAAATTGGATTATAAAATTTTGCTTTTAAATAGTTTTATCAATTTATTTATTATAAATAGAACCATCATTATTTGTTTCGATTATAAATTTTATAATCATGAATGTCCAAATGGAAGAACCAATATAAAAAACTCAAGAAAGTGTAATATATTAATATCATATAAATATTTTTTTAACCCCTGATAAAAGTTCATTTGTAATTGCGGAGTCTTATTTTATTATTCTGAAAAAATGCAACATAAACTTTAATGTCAATTATGAAGATTGAAAAAATATTTACGTAAAATGGTAATCATTTAATTGGACCGTTGATAACGAATAATAAGAGGTTAATTTATAAATTGATTCGTGTTCAAATTATTGATTTATAAAACAATCAAAAGAAAAAATTATAGTTAAAATAAATAAATAATAGTTATTGGCCGAACTGCGATGTAATTATATATATTTTTAATTAAATACGTAAAATACAGTATTATAAAATACGACACAAATATATAAATAAAAAAATTCTTAATTTACGTGAATTATTTTTTTTAACTTTTCCAACCTATTTTGAGCATCTTGATATCCTTGTTTGGCAGATTGTTCATACCAGTAAATTGCTTTATTTATATCTTTCTCAATTCCATCCCCTATTTCATACATATCACCAAGATTATGTTGAGCATACATATCTCCTAAATCTGCTGCTTTTTGATATAATTCAAACGCTTTTTGTTTATTAATATTAGTCCCAATTCCGTAACTATAACAATATCCCAATACCCTTATTCCACTCAAACATTCTCCCTCAGCTGATTGTTTAGATAAATTAAATGCCTTGTAATCATCTTTATCAATACCGATTTCATTTATATACATAATGGCAAGATTACTTTGAGCCACATTATGTCCTAAATTTGCTGCTTTTTCATATAAATGAGCAGCTCTTTTTAAATTTTTTTTAACTCCTATACCTTGTTCATAAAAAAAACTAATTTTAAATATTCCTAACGCAATCTCTTTATTAACTAATTTATCATAATATTCAATAGCTAGCTTTTCATTTTTTACAGTCCCATAGCCAAATTCATAACATCCTCCAACGTAATATTGTGCTAATATATGACTTTGCTTTGATGCTTTGATAAACAAATCAAATGCTCGATCAAAATTTTTACTAGCTTCAATTCCTACATAATTAAAATATCCAAGTAAGAAAATAGAATCCAAATCATTTTGATTATTTAACAACCAGCTATAAATTTCAAATGAATTTATATTATGATCATTAAAACAATCAAAAATATAATCATATGCTGATTTTCCTCTATTGTTTAATTTAAAAATAAATTCTACTATTTCATTAATTATTAAATTCATTTCAGAAGAATTAATTATATTAAACATTTCACTTGTTGATACTGTAGGCGCTATTTCTTTTATATTCATTTTATCAAAATTTTGAATAATTTGAGATAATTCTCCATGGTATGAATCATTGATACTTGAAGAAGTATTAACATTAGTTGGATTAATATCTTGCTCGTCTGATAATTGAAGATCTGATTTAATATGATAATTTTCTGTTATTATAGTTGTTTTTGTAATCATCATTGATTTTAATCTTTCTATCACCTGGTTTATAGTTGGACGATTATTTGACTCACCATCCCAACAATCTAAAAAAGAAGAATATATAATTTAAGAAATATATTACAATGTATTGAAAAAAAAGTTTAAATATTATTTACCAGTATAAAGTTTTATATATTTATCAGGTGTATCAGGAATAGGATCTTCTCTAAGACCTTGCATAGCCAAATCAAGATCATATTCTTTAGTAGAAAAAGGAGATTGTCCGCTAGATATCTCCCATAAAAGTACTCCAACACTGTAAACATCGCTCTTTTCATTAAATGAGAAAATTTGGGTTAAATTTTTATTGTCTTCTCGTTTACCAAATCTTGTTGGATCAATGTAAGGAATTATTCCAAATAATTTTGATTGTTTGGATAATGAATCAATTCCCTTTGATAACACCTTTATTGTGTTTCTATGAACCAATATATTATCAGAATGCTATTAAAATGTATATATTTAAAATTAATTATATAATAAATATAATTTACGTTTAATTAAATTAAAATAATTACCAAATCACGATGTATGATACCTCCATTATGTAAACATGACACGCCACAAGCTAACTGGTACGCCAAGTTGTATTTATTATCCCAGGTAAGATTATTGAAGTTTTTCTTCAAATAATCTTTAAGAGTACCAGAATCAGCATACTCCATAACTATTGAATATTTTTTTAATAGATCATCTTGATTGTTTAAATAAAAGAAATAATTAATTATTTTATTACTTTTTTTTGCAAAAGTCAAATAACATATTATTTATCATTGGATAGTCTTATTATATACCTGACTCAAATTTTGTAACCCCATAGAACTTAATAATATTATCATGAAATTGTATTTTACTTTGAAGCTTAAGCTATATATATATATCAATATAAATTTAATGAGTATATACTACAGTTATTGAAGTAATAAAGTTATTGTATTTCTTAATTACCTCATGTACGATTTCTTTTACAGTGACGTCATTAAGATTAAAAAAAGATTTCAAAGCTATATATTGTTCAGAATTTTTCCAATTTGCACGATAAACTTCTCCGAATGTACCGGAACCAATTTCTTGAATATTACTAAAATTGTATTCATAACATTTAAAATATTCTTTATCAATAGCTTCCTCAATCAAATCAATCCATTCATTTTTATTTAAAGTGTCTTGCATTTCGATATTATTAGACATTGTGGAAGTATGAACGACAGCAAAGATTATTTGTCGTACGGAAAAAAATGAAATCCTATTTATATGAATTCTGGTAACACATGACAGAAAAGGAATTTTGTAACATTGCCGATTATAATTTAATTGCGAGTTCGGAACAAATATATTATATAATTTATCGCAATAATTTATTCTTTACATACTAAAGCATAACCAAATTCATACGCTATTTATTTAAAAAGAAATCTATTATATCATTAACCAAACCTATCGATCTTTTTATTATTATGATCGACGGATTAAATATATGCTGATAAAAGAATATAAATTAAGTATAACCAATATCTGATTTAAAAAATATTTTTATATTTTCTCTAGATCCACTATTTATTATTTACGTCGGCGGTCAAATATTACACAAGTATTCGCTTTTATTATAAGACAAAGCCAATTGCGCCACATTATGAATCTTGTGGAGTTGTGGTTCTGCATCTGCGTTAATAATGAATTAAGAATTTTTTGTTCGTGAATTTGTTTATAAGATTATTTTTCTCCTTTTTTTCAAGTGTGGGTCCATATTGGAAATTTCTTTTACAATAACGTATTTTAAAACTATTTCATTATTATGTTTTTTTTTCATATTACTAACAATGAAGGTGAAGTAAAGGAGACGTACAAGAATATTTTTTGCTACGTTTTTTTACATTGCGCATAATTGAAGAGCAGAGCCACTTTAAATTAATAATGTGAAAATGAGAGATTTGATGTCAATAATTACCATCATCTGTAAAATTGTAAGTCATTAACGAGGGCAAAAGTAAAGGAGGAGTATGTAAAGAGTACTAGTTTTTCCACGTTTTTATACACTGTGTCATGCTAAAATTAGAAAATGGGTGACTTGAGTAACTTGAATCAACAACCGATTAAAATGTATATTAGAACTAGCTGTAGCCTGTTGCGACAGTTGCGTTGCAACAGGATTAAATGAGTTCAAATCAATATAAAATTTTTGTTTTATATTTAGATAAATTAGGTCTTATAATATTAACATGTTTTTTTTTTTTTTTAAGTAAAAAAATAAAAAATAATAAAAAAAAAAATCATATAAAGCATATTTATTCAATAAAAAATATTTTATTTTGATTATACCGCCAATCCAAACCTAAAAGGTGAAAGAACGAAAAAAGAAAAAAGTAGAAAAAACAAATTAGTAAAATAATAAGAAAAAAAATAATAAAATTATAAAATCATGCTTACTATAGGACTGAGTTGTTATCTACAAATTATTAATGTAAGTTGTTAATATTATTAGTAAAATTAATCATGTGGAGAGCAAGTTAATGTAATAAATGAGTACCTCGGTTGAGTTTAGTGAAATCTATTGCTACTATGGATTTTAGAAAATAATAATTAATTATTGTACATTAAAGATCTGATCACCGATCTTAAGCGGCTAAGCCTAAAGACGAAATAACTAATAACGATAATATACTTATACATAAAAAAATATGAAAAATTACATGAAAATATATTTAGTATAGATTATTATAAAGAGAAAAAAACTAGGATAAAAATATTAAAAATTAAAATCTCGGTTTTAACAAGCTAAAAAAATAATATTAAAAAAAAAAAAGATAAAAGTGATCGAAAAAAAATATTATTAAAAAAAGATCAGGTCTTAAAAAAGACGATTATTAAATAACAATTGATCCGGTTTGAAAAAAAGATCTAGTCTAAAAAAAGAAGTCTTAAAATCAAACGTTCGGATAACTACCTGCTGCAGTCGATCGCATCATCCTGAATGGCCGAAAATGAAACAATGATTAGTAAAACAAATTAAGCTTTTTTTCGTCAATTAGCAAAAAAAAAAAAAAATATCCGATTAAAATTTCAGCCAATCAAATTATTCAAACCATAATAATTATGGAATAGATCAGGCGCAGTCGAATCACGCTTCGCGCAATTCAAAATTATTTATACAGGTTAATCTAAACGTTACTGTTACACACCTATTTCTTTAATTATATACAATGTTTAAACGGTTTTGGTACGAAATCTCGTGAACGAGACCGACAACAAAATCAACAAAATCTCGACAATCCGAAATATTTACAAGTCGACAAGTTGATTATCCCGACAATTTTAGAACAAAATTATAAAATTTATCACATTTAAACTAAATATTACATATTGCAACTTACAAAATTGTCGATATAATGACTTGTCAGAATTTTGGATTGTCGAGACTCGAGATTTTGTTGTCGATCTTGTGTAGTGACTGTCGAGATTTTGATCGGATACCATTTATACTATATACTATATATATATTAAATAACATAATTTTAGTCACATTTTATTTAATCAACTAATTTATTGGAGCCAAATTTTATGGTTATCCAAAAAAAAAGATAAAACTGGTAGAAGTACCAAGTATACTTGATTTAAAATATTTTACATATTTCTCGTTAAATTTATAATTATTAAATATTACAGAATATTTTATCTACGTGTCAAAATGTTTGACCAAAAGAGATTATAATAGAATTAATAATCCTAAAATAGGTGGAATATAGATTATATAGATAATTGGTCCAATTATCTATCTACTGAAATTTTCCCCCATTCGTCTTGTCCATCTAATTCCATTGTCATCATGAGCATTTCATATTATAGATATTATAATTTAAATTTTTATTAAAATGTTTTACACAAAACGTAGTGGAAACAGTGGCAACAAGTTTCGTTTTAAAAACATGATTGTACTATATTTCTCATATTTCTCATTAAATTTATATATTTATTATAAAGCCTTTATCACCCAATTTTATTTTTACATCGGTTAAAATTGTTGCAAAGCATTTGTCTTTTAACTTAATATTCTTGGAGTTACTACTAATTTGTTACGTCCCAAGCTTCAGATCTGTATTTACGTCACGTTTATCAATTCCCAAAGCTCCTATAATATTACTAGAAGGAAGGTTCCTACAAAGAAAAAACCCAAAGAAATTTAACGTTAGTAATGTTTACTAACGTTAAAAGAAGTAACCTCACCTTCCATTTGCGTTCTAAAGTGTCTAGGGGACTCTTACAAAAAAATAAAAATAAAAATAAAGGAACGTTAATAATGGTTTAATGTTTATTAACATTCCTAAACAAAAAAAAAAATTTTAGTTCTTACAATTCTAAAGTCCAGTTCCAAGAAGCTGAAGTCTAGGTCCAGAAAGACATTCCTAAAGAAAAGGAACGTCAGTAACGTTCCAAAACAAAAAAAAAACTGAAAGAAAAAAAGAAACCTTCGTTTATTTTAAAGGAAATGACTTTCTGATCCGAGCGCTAAGAATAATTCGACAATTATTAAATTTAGACAAAACTATTTTTTAATTATTTTTAAAAAAACGTTTGGCTCGATAATTAGTGGTAATCAAATTATCCGGCTAAAACACTTTTTTTTAATAAAAAAAATAAAAAATCTAAAAAAAATCTTTTTAAATAACCAATTTTTATTAGTTTCGGCTATTAAATCATCCGGCCGTAACGATTGAATTTTTAATTTTTTTTTCCAGATCCATCAGATATCACAATCCATTCATCGGATTTATCAGAATATCGCACTTCTAGTCTAGTTTACTTTATAAAAGATATTATTAAAATAATTTTACTTCATTAAAAAATAAAACCAAATATTCATATAAATTCGACTAAATGATGTATGAACAGAAATATTCATATGAAATATGAAGTCGCTAGTAAAAAAATCTTGCGATAGTCTTGATGAAAATGAAAATTAATTAACAATTTAATTATTTTATTGCGATAGTAATCAGATAACTTTCAGAACTGTTAGCGTTTCATTACTTTTGATAGTATTTTTGGATTTTGACGTGTTTATTATTCTAATTTAAGAACAACTTAATTTTTTGCTGGAATCCCGTGCCAATTTTTTTGCAACGTTATCAAAAGTATTTAAAGTATTTGGTTAATTTGTTGATCGCCACCGCAAATATCGCGTGATTCGTCTATTTGGTGATTTTTTTTTTAACGCCAGAAATTTCAACTCTTACGAAGCGTGCTAACTGGTGGACGCAAAAAAAAAGGTTTGATCTTCATCCATTTAATATTAAAGATTTCCCGCGAAACGTTGCAAATTTATTCGTCATATTTAAAAATATTTTAAATATTTACCATTCTAAACCCTTTCAAGATAAGGAAAAGATCTTTATCTAAGATTTTTTAAAAATAAGACAAATCATTTATTTATAAAAGCTAGTTAAAAAAAAAAAAGGTCAAATTTTCCAAAAAAAACCACTGATTATTTGTTTACGTTTGAATACGATATAAATTTTTTTTTTTTTCTTGTTAATAATATAAAATATTAATACAAATTATATAAAGATAATTAATCAAATAAAAATATACATATATTATAGACTTATATAAAAATTAATATTGGATATATACAGCATAGGGTCATAGACATTTACATAAACTCTATTAAAAACATAACTACGTAAAATTATTATAATAAATCTTATCTTAATTAATTCGTGATCCGCAAATAAAGTAGAGAGTCCTATATCAAAAATCGGGGTAATTATATAATAGCGTAGAATCTGACGTCATGGCAAACCAAAGTACTAATTGTTAAAATATAATATAAAAACTAAGTTTATTGCCATCAAATTATGTTATTTAGCTTACTTTTTATTGAAAGTCCGGTAAATTTTTTGAGCACTATAAATGACTTACTTATAGGCTTAAAGGTAAAAAATGCCTTATTTTTAACGTTGCGAATAATGGATTTTTACTTTTAGGCTCATAGGAAAGTTATTTCTAATTATTGAAAATTTTACCGGACTTCTAGTAAGAAGTTAGCCAAATGGTATAATTTTATGCTAATGGTTTTAGTTTTTACATCATATTTAAAAAATTCGTACTTTAATTTGCCGCGTCTTCAGATTCCGCGCTATTATATATTACCATATATAACTTAACCCCGGTTTTTAATAATTAGATTCTCTACTTTTTACGCGGATCACGAATTAATTTTTACTAAAAATATTACAAATGCGATCAATTAAATTATATGAATT